ACATGGCATGACATGAAGACAGAAAAAGATCCATTGCTTCCAGTATTCCCCAGTCAGCCAGGGCTTTTTTCTGTTTGAAAATGCATAGGATTGTGCCTTAAATGTCCATCACTACTTTTTGTGACAGTGAGCTTCAAAAGTGAATGACTTGCTGAATGAAGAGGATATTTCCAACAGCTGCTCATGATTGCGGATGTTTAGCACTGCTTAGGGTACTGCATTACTAAACTTAAACTGTTATGGGGTTAGATCTGGGAATGTCCTGGCTAAGCTTGGTCCACATTCCTTGATGTTCTTGTTTAGCAGGCATCCTCTAGCACGCCAGTGTCTAACCATCTGTTGTCACATATTTATAATGTGTTAAAGAACTTCCGCCTGTGCACATCTGATATATCCGTACTGCTCATTCCAAGGCAGTTCACTCACTCAGCATTGAAAACAAAGATCTCAAGTACCTACTTGAGATCTTCTTGGATATCGTGCAGCCTTGTGTGAACATGAAGTCGTAATGGAGTGTGTCTGAAACAATAGAATGAAGGAAAGTGAAATAATTCATATAAACTGCTGGTGGTGCTGGACCTAGAGAGCTTGTGGCTGGAATCTTGCACACAGTCTACTTGGTACCCATATAGTCTGCTGAGCCACATGACCCTTGTGGGTAGCAGGGCCAACGCTACCATTAGGCAGAGTGATGCAACCAGGTTAGGTGGGGCGCAGCAGTGGCAGTCCCCTAGTCATTTTTCCTGAGCTCCTGGCCATTCTGCTTCATTGGGGGAACTGAGCTGTGGATGCCATATAGCTTGCTTGCACCAGCTAAACTAGTCTGCTCCCCTCAGTTGCCCAGTCCCACGGTCTTTTTTCCATGCAGGTAGAGCCAGAGCCAAAGGGGTGAGGGGACACCCTATTTTTTTACACTTCTGACCCTCCCTTTCCCTTAAGTGACCGACTGTTGCCCTTTTTACATGTCTGATCACTTGAGAGAACTTCTGAAGGTAGGCTGCAGACTGCATGAAACCAGGTCAAGGTCTTCATGCTGTCTGAAGACCATGGGTTGCCCAGCCGCGTGGGGGCAAGCCCTTGGTTCAGCCAAGAAATTCCCAGTACAAGTCCCTTCTTCTCAGCTTAGCCTTCCTCCCAGAGATTGCTGAGAGAATAGAATGAGGTAAGCATACATTGCAGCAAAATCTATGACTGAATGGGGTTGAAATCAAAAGTATCCTATACTCTCAATACTTGTTAATATGGAACCTCATTGGCCCCACAGGATCCCCCACTTTTGAATAATCTAAAGATGCTCAGCTCTCAACGTTGTTTGGCTGGGTCAGCTTTTTCTTCTTCTAAAGAAACTATTTCCAAGTATCCTAATCATCCAGCTCTGGTCTTGTGTGTATGGATCGCATTGTAAGCAAGTAGGAAGCAATTCCTTTAGAGATGTTATTCCTAAGTATTGTCAGTGGCGGCGCTGCTAAGTCTGTAGTAGCCTTTTAATGTCTGTTGTTGGCCCAAAGTAAACTCTTATTTCATAACATGCAAAGGAATTGAAGATGAAAATATGTAATATTTTAAGTATTTTTAAACTTCAAAACAGATGAGGGCAAAAGCAGGAGAGAGCAGCTCTAGTTTAACCAAGAACATATTTTTCTGGCTGCATCAGGAAATAATCAAGAGCAAAAAAGGGAGTGCCTGGACCTTTGTTCCTCTGAAACCATAACAACTATGAACTTGCTTTCTATTTTAATGTTGTACTTAACTCCTTTGTAAAATAGCTTAAATGTGCTTCATATATGACAGGAGAGGTACTCCAGATATTTTGCCCTACATTTTCCATCAGCCCATACCATTGGCTATGGCTGATGGGAATTCTAGGTCAAAATATTGGGAGGGCCATAAGTTGCTTTGCCTGATATTATTATATGAGATATCACCCATTTTCCATTATTCCAGAACATAATGGATGATCTTTCTGCTCTGATTACCTTTCTGCAGCCCTACTGTAAATTATTCTTAATCCAAAAAAAAAAAAAAAAAATTAGGCAGTGTCACATGTTGGGAACACTGTCCAGTAATGAACTTCATGGAGCAGCCTTGGGCAGTTCACCATCTCTCAGGGTTTTAATGAGGATCATGGCAGTCAGACATACCCCCCTTAAAAGAAAGGGACAGATGCACAGGCCTACAAGGTTGGGTGATTTGGGGTTTTCCATCTTACTCTGAAGAACATGGCAAGGCTTGCTTTGCTGGCATGAGAAGTGTTTTACATTAACTGTATTGTTCTTTTAGATTGCTATACCCATTGTCCCATTGAACTGGGGCTGACTTTTAAGTAGCTCTGTATAACTCAACAACCCTGTTGGAGACAGTTTTTGCTGTCGCCCCCCCCCCCCCAGCCGTCTGCTCTACTGACAGCATCTGTAATCTGATTATTCCATGATTGATTATTGATTTATTACTGATTTTGAAAATGTATAAACTTGCCATTACATTTTGTTCAGTGCCAGAAACACAACACCCCTTACAAGCAATTCAACTTGTTTTGAAATAAATGCCACAATCTCAATCAAAAGTAGAAAACCCAGTTACTTAAGCTACTAAGTATTGCCAACAGCAACTCGGTTCAGACTGGTTTATTGTGGAGTGCCCTGCCTCTGTAGGGTTTTATCTTGTGTTGAACCAGACAGCTTGAGATCCTTTCTTTCATTATCATTCTGAGTCACTGGCTGATTGTGCCCCAGCTGAAGCCACAGAGCCCTGGCTTTTACAGGACAACAGGTGAGCAGGTGAACTCCTGTTTGGGCTAATTTCAGGTTGCAGGTGGAGCATCACATGGCTGAATGTTGCCCTGCTTCTCTCTGAAACATGCAAGTTTTCTGTGGGAAGGATTCAATCAAATGAGATCTCATCTGTGGTCTGAAGTGGTAGATGTGAGGCAAGACAGGTTTACCTAGAAAGTTGATAGCCATGAGAGGACTTCACTGAAACAAACCTAAGTGCAGCTTTGCGCCACTTACTATATCGGTTCCTTAGTGTGTTTCTGCATTGAATTTTCAGCCATCTGCTGATCTACAGTGCCTTGCAGAAATATTCAACACCTTTTACTTTTTCCACATTTTGTTTTGTTACATCCTGGAATAGAAATGGATCTGATGGGCACAGTTGCCACTTGGTGTAGACAAGATACTGAAGATCGAAAAGGTGCATAATGTGGCACAAAAGTTAAACAAACAAAATCAAACCAGTACTTGTTTGTATAAATACCCCCCACCACGCCGCCACCCAAATCACTACCCTTGTAGAAGTGCCTTTGGCAGCAATCACAGCTGCCAATCTTCTTGGGAAGTCTTTCTCGGCTTTGCACACGTGGATCCTGCAGTCTTTGCTTATTCTTCTTGGCTGAACTGCCACAGCTGTGTCAGGGTGGATAGGAACCATCACAGAACAGAGTTTCAAGTCCTACCACAGGTTCTCAGTCAGATTAAGATCTGGCCTTCGCCTGGGCCATTCTAAGGTCTGGTTTTAAACCACTCCATGTTAGTTTGGCTTCCAGGTCATTGTCCTGCTAGGGTGGAAATGGTGTTATCAGAGCAAGCAACACACATGGCATTTTTTAGCAAGACCAACAATTTCAGAGGAGAGAGAACTCTTTTCTACATGCTTGCTTTGTGTCCAGTATTATTTTTTTTTCAAATTCCAAATGGGATTTGATAAGGGTTTGTTTCAGCAATGGCTTTTTTCTCACCACTCTTCCATAAAGCCCAACTTTGTATAGTTGTCCCATGGATAGTTTCTTCCATCCCAACTGCAGACCTTTCCAGCTCTGTCCTCTTGGTTGCTTGTCTGATGCCCTTCTTACCCAGTCACTGAATTTTGGTGGATGGCCTGCTTTAGGCAGAGTTGTAGTTGAGCTACGTTCTGTCCATTTTGAAGTAATGGATTTATCAGCGCTTCAGGGCATGTGTATACGGATATTTTTAAATAACCGAGGCCTGAATTGTGAATCTGCACAAAATTATGCCAGAGTTGTTTTGATAGCTCCTTGTTCTTTGCAATGTTGTTTGCTTACCAAAGTTCTCCAACCATCTCTGGAGTCTTCCAGAAACAAGTGCATTTAATCTGAAATAATGTGATACTGGAATGGCATGCAGATGGACTCCACTCAGCTACTTACAGGATATGACTTCTGAAGGCAGTAGGTTGCACTAAGCTTATTTAAAGACGTCATAGCAAAGAGGATGGGGGGTGAATTTTTAGGCAACTAATGCCAGTGGTTTTGTTTACTTAACTTTACTCAGTTTGCGTGCCCACATAACACCTATTCTGTACAAATTGCACTGGTTTCCAGTTGAAGCCTGGGTCAATTTAACATGCTTGTTTTACCATACAAAGCCCTAAAAGGCTTGGGACTTGGTTATTTGAAGGACATCCTTTTCCTATATACTCCTATCTGCCCATTGAGATCTGGGAATGAGGTCCTTCTGAGAGAGCCATCCCTGAAAGAGGTATAAGGCATGGCATTTAGAAGAAGGGCCTTCTTGGTGGCTGCCCCCAACCTTTAGAATGGGCTTCCTAAAGAGGTCCACATGGTGCAGTCTTTAATTTTGGTGCCAGGCAAAGGCCCTCCTCTTTCACAGATCTTACAAAACCTGAATTTAAAAACTGATTGTTCTCACTCCAACTGATTTCCTCTGCTCTTCCCCCCATAGTTGTACCATTTATTGTATATTGCTAAGTGGCTTAGAGAGTCCTGTCAATTGACTAACATATACATTTGAAAATCCATCAATCAAATAAGCTTTAGTGAGATGATTAAAAACATCACAGTATTCACTACATTGAAAATTGTTTGTCTGGCAAGTGGTAGCAGCACCAACTAAGTCTATGTCAATTCCAGTTTGTAACTCAAGAAAAGTCAAAGCTCGGAGAATACGTCTGCAAGGCACTGTATGTGCCCATTTCACTAACAGCACAACTGGATTGCTTCTCTTTGTTTCCATTGCCTTTAGATCATGGAGAATGCGACTGTGGGGAGTGCAAGTGCCATCGTGGTTACGTCGGGGACAACTGCAACTGTTCAACAGAGCAGGACCGGTGTTTCTCCAACGATGGCCAGCTCTGCAGTGGCAGGGGCACCTGTATCTGTGGGAAGTGCCAGTGCACAGAACCTGGAGCCTTTGGGGAGACTTGTGAGAAATGCCCCACCTGCCCGGGTGTATGCAGCACTAAAAGGTATTGCGCCGGTGAGCTAGAGTGAGACACTCAAGTAGCAGCTTCATGACGGTGCCTCATTTGTGGTGCTTCAGCTACATTAAGGGTCAGATTTGGTGCCAGCTGATGTGTTGCAGCTTGAAATGGCTTGTTGTGAAATGGCTCTGTTTTGGCTTCACAAGTTCAAATAAGAGGTTGACAATATTGCCTTTAATAATAAGAGTGCAGAAAAAGCCATGCTTGAGAAAACTGGCTGAATTGCTTATCTGGTCAACAGTCCTAGGCATATTCGTCTGCAGACACAGCTCTGGTAGTTCAGCATTCACTTAGTCAGCCTTCATTTCTAATTTGTTGAATGATATTGTTTCAGATTTGTGCATCATTTGAGCCCGGCCCTCTAGTTTACTGCCCTTGCATTGTGGCTCGCCAGGTATTTGGCAACACTCTTTTCATAGTCCTGAGCAGACTGGAAAAGTTCAGGAGGAGGCCATGGCCTACACATTGGCAGTCTAAGCTTTGTCTGCCACAAGGTGCCTTGGCACTAAGTCAGCAGCTGTGCCCAGGGATAATGCCGGCGCCCTTGCTGCTGACTCATAAAACATTGCTTACAAAGGAATCCAGACTGGGCAAGGCCCTTGATCCTAGAGTTACTTGTTTAAGAAAATTTTAATTGTGTAATTTATAAGAATATTTATAGTTTGTTTCATGTGGACTGCTATTCCTATTTTTAAGACAAGAATTACTTAGAAAACTAATGCTAAAATTAAGAGAACTTTAGGTCTAGATAGAGTTTTGGCCATTGGGTTGGAGTCTATTTCCAGCATTCACTAAATAGATGCTTAAATGGAAAATCACCCAAACTACAGTTTAACACACATTTCTTAAGTTGGGAAGTATGAAAACCTGAATGTTCAACCTTGTGAGGCTTCTCACCCTTACATGCACCAAATAAATATGTAGTAATGGCTCTTATATCAAAACAAGCTGTAACTGCACTTGATTTGCGGTTGCCACTGAAAAGATGTGTCAATTTGAGAAGCCTGACTGTCATGTTTTAAATGCAAGTGTGATTTCAAGATACGCTTATCGCTCTTCTCTGATTCGTCTTTCAAAGGGACTGTATTGAGTGTACGCTGTTCAACTCAGGAAGGCTGGCAGATAACCAAACCTGCCAAAAACAATGCAGGGATGAGATCATTATGCGAGTGGATGTTCTCCGTAAGTATCACCAAACAAATGCAGAGATGCATTTCTAACAACAACTTAGTTGACAGGAAAAAAATTGATTTAAAAAGTCTATGTATGCATGTTTAAATTGTTATATTATTAGATAAGGAGTTTCTGGGTACCGCTAAAGAATTATTAGTACCTAAGCACTGATGAGGCCAGATCTGGAGAACTGTGTCCAGTTGTGATCATCTAGTTCAGGGGTCCTCAAACTTTTTCAATAGGGGGCCAGCTGAAGTGTGGTGGCAACCTGCACGGGCTGGTGAGGTGGCGTCAGGTGTATGTGGCAGCAGCTCGCTCGGAGATCTCCTAGCAAGTCCAAAATAATCTCTGAGCGAGCAAGCCACTGCGGCAAGCACGCATGTGCAGGTGAGGCGGGTGGTGGCAGCGGCGGCTTGCTCGCTCAGAAATCTCCCAATGAGTCCAAAATCATATGAGTGAGCAAGCCACCACCTCCCCATGTGCGCGGGTGGCGACATGGGCCAGGTAAATGGGCACGGCGAGTCGGATCTGTCCCACAGGCCGTAGTTTGAGGACCCATGATCTAGTTGGATGTATGATCAGTTGAAAACTGAGAAAGTGCAAAGCAGAGAGGCAAAAAAAAGATAACTGGTTATAGATAATTTGCCTTATGAACAGATATAAATAAAAGAGCAACTATGTGGCTTTGGAAACAGGAAGCTTAGAGGGGATATGATGCAGATCTCAGGCTTGTGAGACAATTACCTGCTATATCCCATAAGCCATATACTGGGATATACACTTCATAAATCTACATCTCAGTAAGTGAAATTCAGGGATTGATTCAGGAGGAGGCGTTTTTGTCACTGCTTTTAAACCATTAGGAATTGGTAACCCTTGCTGGTCATCCAGTGATCTTCCCATAAATGCCAGTATAACTTCTGCCCACCCTTGCCTTAGAAGAGTTAACAAGCAACGTGTTTGTATGTTCTGAGATTATAAATCAATGCATTTAGTTTGGAAAGCAGAAGAAAGTGATTCAGTTGACAGATTCTGACCCTCGCAGGCTGGGGGTGGATTAAGTGCATGGACTACTTTTATTCAGTTGGTGGCAGCATCTGGCTCCCTGGTTGCGCCTGGCCCACCTCAGCCTTTGTGTAATACAGAGGGTGCATCCTTGCCACTGCCTGGCAAGGCTGAGGAGAAGATTGGCTCAAAGATGCTTCCTTTGAACTGGGGTGGGCTGGCACAGGCCATTGGACTGAAGGAGGAGGGCAGACGGACAGAAGTGGCGAGGAGCAAGAGAGGGACAGGCAAGGGGGTGATGGAAAAAAAGAGTCGCTCTAGCCAGTTTTGACACCCACTACCATGTTGGGCTTCACCCACCACAGGGCCCATATGAAGGGTCAGTGACCCTTCATAGAAAAACCATTCCATGCAGGTCTCCAGGCAAAGGCTCCAGTGGGATTCTGCTCATATGCAGGAACTCTTTAGCTTGTGTAGGCAGATCTTTGTGGGAGGGAAATGTGTATGCTTGATGCATCGATAACATTGCCTTGGGCAGTGCTTCTACGTACTTTAGCCATGACATTGCTTGAATTTAAGCACAACTGGGTTAAAAACTGTGTCGCATTCCGTTTATCGCCTGGGGTGCGGGGAGCCGTCCCAGCTGTTGCTGCTCAGCCATAGCTGTGGCTTCTGCTTTGGCTCACTCCCCACCCCCAGCCGCACAGACACTAAGTATTTGCCAATGCAAATGTTGCAAGACCCTTTGTTCTCCCTTCCCCTCTAATCTGTCTGTGGTCGGGTTTATTCCTATCAGCTCTTCTGTGGATTCCTCTTGCTATTTACATGTTATCCCTTCCCTTTCTTTTCTTGAGGAAAAAAAACTGTAACATTTTTTGTTAGTGGTATCCAAAAATGCAGCAGAGGTTTTATGGCAGCATATTTGACCAGTGATTCAGTCTTGCAGTTGCCACTTGAAACTCCTTTTGGCTTCTTCTGTAAATACAAATCCCTCCCAATCACAAAAGGCTCTTTTCAGATAATCATATGTATCCGGATAACCCTAAAATTCAGGATTTTAAATTGAAATTGCTTTCCCAACTCACAAAACTAAGCTATGCAGAGGTAACACAGGCAAATGTTGTGCTGAGTTCCATGAAAATCTCTTCCTGTGCAAAGAGAAAAAAATTGCATGTTTTGAGGACATGACTTGAAACATCGACATGCTGTTCAGTGGAATCCTAGTGGAAGCATTTTGAACAAAGCATACACTTTATGCTAGTGACGGTATCTTAACCATGGAGTCTGTAGTGTTTTGAATTCCTTAAGTTGTATCCTCCTCACACACCTGAGTCGCAATATATGGTATCCACAATGCAAACGCAGACTTCCAGGAATTTATCAAACATCTTTGCTACCATCTCTTTTGCATATTTATTCCACTTCATGAATGGGAAAAAACATTGTAGACTAGACTATGACTACAGCAGGGATGGAGAACCTATAGCCCTCCCTCAGACTTTATGTGCCATCAACCACAGCCAGCACAGCCTGTGTTTAGAGAATTGTAGCTCAACAACATATTCCCTATCCTAATATACAGAATTTGAACCACTCTGCCCTATTGCTTCTCTGGGAGCCCATCCTAAAAAGATGGACGGGTCAAGCAAGTTGGACCAATTTGCCAAGTAAAGTTGCAGAATCTTCTTCTGCATATGATCAGTAGCCATGAATACATCTGCTTTGCTCATAGTGCCCTTTAGTTCTCCAAAGGGCTAAAGAGCCATTGCAAAGCCAGAGCAGCTGAAAAAGGCATTTTTTTCTGATTCTGTATAAGGTAGCATAACTCCTAAGTTCATATAGTTTGTATATAGTCAAGTTCTGTCTTTTAGGAGTGGGTTCTACACATTAAGCAAACTTGCTATCTTGCTAGTGGGGGAAGTATAATAGGTCCCTCCAGGCTGCATAAGAAACTCACAGTGCTCTCCCCCAAACTAGATTGTCCTTAAAGTCAGTCCTGATTTCATATGTTTGCCACACATTCCATTTGGAGTATGCATCCAGAGTGCAGTCCTCAAGCCCATAAAAGCCCATGGGACATTAGACATCACTACTTAAACTGGAACTGTGCATACCTAGAGAGGACGAAAATGCCACAGAACAACCAATCTAAAATTAGGCCTTGATGTGACATCGTCTACATTCTGGGTTTTTTCACCCTTGGAAGGCCTGATGGTATAATGTTTATGACTGCACCTAAGATTGTTTCTGTTCAAAAGTATCTTACAGGCCTTGTCATGGGAGGATCTTGTCCCATTTTGATCCACTAGAAAATTGCTTAGAACAACTGTTGTGAGCCTTGACTCCTATTTCCATTCTCCCACAATGTCCACCTTGCTCTTGAAAATGACCTATCCAGCCATTTCTGGAAATAAAACCATTCAGCACATGTCTGGAATGCAAACACGGGATGGATGGCAGTTTTGATAACATCTCCAGTTTGTCAGTGCTATGCAGAGAGACTCCACAAAAGGATGCCTGTGGAAAGTTCAAAAATGAAGTCAAAAGAAAAAAGAATACACTCGAGATCATGCCATCTGTTGCAATGTCAGATTTCCTCATGGTTATGATTTCTCTGTCTACTTGATACGGTTTAATTTCTTAGTTTTAACCAGATAAACAGTTCTCATACACAGATCAAACAAAATTCTATAAATAGACGTTTCTTGTACTTTCTATCTCAAAATTGGCACAGGCCCTCACCAAACCTACCTCTCCCTTGCACTGCCAAGTTTGAGTTCGGTCTGTTGAACAGTATAAAAATCTGCTGCCCTCACAATTTCTGCCTAGAATGGTGGAATGATAATCAGATGATACACCTTTAACATAGGAGCCAGTGTCTGCAATGTACTTTAAACTCATGATAAGGATCAAAAGTGACAACAGGAGTTTCTAATTGAATTCTAGGAGCCTTTGCAAATGATTATCTGGTGAGAGTGCACTTGATACTCAGGTACTGCAGTGATCCAAAGTAGTGAGGGGAGAAATGCTTCAGATAAGAGCATCTTTTTTTTTTTAATTTAAAAAAATGAGAGCATTTTTCTAGTCCTTAATGTTGTTGCTGTGAAAAAGGCCAATCTTTCCTTTCATGGCTGTATTAACACCTCCATTGTAGTTGTGAATGTCTGTACAGTTATGGCTGAGCGTATGCCACACGTCTACCTCAGGTTGGCACTGCATTTAAGTTCATGCAGCCGGGTTGGTGAAAATGGGCTTCCCTGGATCCTCCTGCACACGACTGGCCCTCCAGCCCCCAAATGCTACACTGCTCTGGCTCAGGGGAAGCAGGCCTTCCCCCCTCCATTGGTGGCAGTCACTTCTGTGAGTGGAGCTCTGCATTCTGCCTGCCCAGTCTTAAATAACATTCCTGCTTAAATGCTGCTTAATTAAGCAACTAATGGGTGGTGCTATTGCTGAATTAAGACACTAGGCAAAGAAGCAGCACTTGATTACTGGCCTGATCTGATACCTCAGGGTCATCACCTGTCTTCTGAAATTGCTGATGGCTTAGTGTGAAGCTGCAGATTGATAGGAAGAGGGTTTGGTGTCAGGAACTCTCCTTTCAGGCTGTGCATAGGCTGCCAGGGGTGGGAGAGGCAAGGAAGGCCTTAAATACTGAACAATGCATGCAAGCAGAAACTGAGAGTAACTAACTCACGGATATGATATCTGAAGCATTCCCTTTTCTGGGAGAATCCTGCCCATCCAGTCAAATCCACTGGCAGAAATGCAGTTCATAGGCAAATGGGATGATGCTTTTGCTATTCCCACATCCAGGCTCTGGAATGCTAAACAAATTCCAACTCCCACTTTCTTTATGATGTTCCACCATGCTGTGGATGCACTGTTTGGTCATCCTTTTGGCCGGGACTGCAGAATGTTTATTACTTCCTATTATTGATCTATCCGATTAACAATGTTTCAGATATTTTCTTTGCATCGTTTGCATGAAGTATGGTGTGGAGGCAGAAGTGTTGGACTGGAGACCTGGAAGATTGGGGTTCTGGTTCCCACTCAGCCATGAAGCTCACTGGGTAACTTTGGGCCTGTCAATGATTTATAGCCCAACCTACCTCCAGGGGCTGTTGTTGTGAAGATAAGATTGAGGAGAATTATTTAAGCCACACTGATTTCTTTGAAAGGAAGAAAAGGCAGGAAGTGTTTTTATTGATATTGGTAGCAGATACAGGTTAGTTGGAATGGAAATTAGAAAACCTATTTAACAACAATCTGCAATAAGGCTTAGGTGGCATCTTTTGCAAGCCAGAATTAGAAACTAATGTCCTATTCACTATGGAGGCTTAATAGTTTGAAAAAGACCAAATTCTATAAAGGAAAATGAGATCTACCTAGGCAGTAGGTCACTTGCTGGACACACCTTCCCCATATCCCCAGACACTTGATTCCTCTGAAGTCCTCTGAAGGCTGACCTTCTGCAGTGTGTGTGTCACAGCATGTGTATCTTTAATGTGGGTCATCAACCATACAAGTGCTGGATATTTTAATCCCTCTCACCAAAATGGACTATAAAATTAGCTTATTTCCAGACAATTATTTCCTGCATGCAGATTAGTGGAGGAAATGAAACTTCCTTTTGTAAAGAAATCCTTCCAAGTTTCAGTTTTGTTTGGCCTTCTTTCAGAGACTCCTATTCCTTTTTTAGTAGGACAGCCACACCAACATTTCCTTTGCAGTCTTGGAATTGTGTTTATTCATGGATTTCTAAATGATGAGGCATGAGACTGAGGCAATGGGGTTGGACACTGTCTGTGCTAATGCATTTTACAATTTTAGACATTTGAGTGATTCCATAATGGGCTCCATATGTACCAACAGGAAGCCTCTCATATTGAAAGGAATCCAAATTCCCAAGAGACCTAGAATCCCAACAGATTCTTCCATTGCTGGGGCCAAAATAATGGGTATTTTAAACACATCGTGATGCACTGAACTAATGCCCAATAAACAAACGTGCAGCAGAGCCTTTTCCTAATTTTATTCCAGAAACCGATGACCCCCATTCAGTCTTGTGTGCTTACCCAGTGAAGGACTGTGTGATGAAGTTCACCTACTCAGAACTCACCAGCGGGAAGACCAATATCACCGTACTCAAGGAACCAGGTTCTTAAGTTTGCTGCATGTTTATTTTCCTTGTTGTGATATAACAAGAGCCATTGGTATTTCCCTGGCCAGCCCTTTGGGCAGTAAGGAAAAGGAGACACCCCAACGAGGGATCAGCCTGGATCTGTCTGCCACCAGCATGCAGCCCGATGGGTAAAGAAGGCCCTTTACAGAAGTGGCCCATCCTGCTTTGTAGTCACTGAAAAGTTGCTTGCAGAGCAACTGGATATGTTGGGTCCAGATTTATTTATTTTATTAAATTTATATTCCGCACCCAATAATCCCGCATGGAACAATGTAGATGTGTATTACCAGAGGTGGTGATAGCACCATCCATGCATCTCCCTCAAAAAAAGACAACAACAAAACTGCTCAGGGAGCAAGGACTCTGCTGAATGCTGCAAGGGGCAATGGCTAACAGCATTCAAGCAGGGCACCTTCTCTAAGTGAAGCCCTTCTAGCCACACAAGGCAGATCCAGGAACGAACTTTGAAAAGTTATTAATATTGGACATTGCCTCTAGATGCCTGTACTTTTGCCTAAAATGCACAGGCCTTCAGTATTTTTAATTGGATGATAAGACAAAATAGGGACAGCTTTCATCAGGAAAAGAAAAAAAAAACTATACATAGGCCAATACAGGGAAATGGATTCCTATTAGAAGTGGTCTATGTGCTACGAAAGAAAAAAGTGATGGTGTTACACAGTCCACGGGCCATCTGGAGAGCATCAGAGGGGCCTTGTGAGATGGGATGAAGTGAATTTACCTCAGTTTGCAAGCACAGTTGCCAGAAGAGAAATCAGAAAGACCTGGAGCTTATAGGCTCACCTGTCCCATATGCTTGTAGGGCTTAAACAGAGCAATGACCTCTGCACACAGAATAACACTTTGGAGCTCTGGACCTAAACAGCTCCAAACTTTGGGAAGGGTTCAATCTTAATTTTTTTCAGTTGAAAAGTCTTCTCTGATTTTTGCAATAAACAGGTGTGAAGTTGCATTTCAAGCCAAAGATATAACGTCACTTTTCATCTCCTGAAATAATTCCATATTCTAGGCTTCCAAATGTACTTCATCAATTATTACATGCCAGCAATGTCATAGTATGAAAAATAGATGCATATGAAGTCAACCACTCAGTTTCCTCTGGTCACAGTCCAATGACAACTCCCAGAAAACACCCCTCTGCGTCTTGCTGGAGCTCCCAGCACAGAAGGATGTCCTCTGCTGGGAGCTACTTTGTCAATGTCCTGAGAAAACTCAGTTTCTCTTAAATGAACTGGCTTGCATCTAGGAAGAAGCCAACAGTCTGACACAAACATCATGGCTTCCAGAGCCATTTGACACTGTAGAATGGGTGTGATGGTAGACATTGCTTAAAAAAATAAACATTCATATAAGCCAGCCCCACAAGAGATTGCTTCTGAGCATACCTCCTTAGCTAGATAGGGAGTTGCAGATGTAAAGGGGTGTGATACTTACACGTTTCCCAAGCCATTCCAGCAGCCAGAAATGGTGAATGCATCGGCATTTTAAAAATCCAACCAAACAGCTGTTTGGCAAGGAAATCAAAGTAGAGGGAGGAGCTGAATTGACATCCCTCCACACACACACACAACTAACCCAAGGGCAGGCAACCTAGAGCCCTCCAAATGTCTGAAATGACGACTCCCACAATCTCTGCCCCTTGGTCATACTGTCTGGGGCTTAAGGGAGTTTAGTCCAAAACATCTGGTGTCTGCCAGCTAAACAGTGAGATTTTGCCTTCTATTTCCACACAGCCCAGGTTACTAGATTCACTGTGGAACTGCTCATGCAATACACATTTGTGTGTGAAATTCCCCATCCACACGTGTAGTGTACAGATTCAGCTGCTGAATGGATTGGGATATGTATACTCCATTTCTGCCATTGTCCCTATGCAAATGAATTGGCAGAGATGTTTATCCATTAACTGTTGCCTCCTACATTCCAGCTAATAGATTCTGCCTTCAGCTAAGGAATTTTCAAACCTGGAAACTGCATTTGAAAAATAAATTCTAATATTTTCCAGTTACTATGCATTCCTTATGTAAAATTCAGTAAGAAATGTGCACCATTATTTTTTGTTTCCTAATGTGGAATCTGTAGGCCTTTTCCTTTAGCAGTCCTCTTACTTTTCCTTACCAGAGTGCAGCACTGCCCCTGATGCTGTGAAGATCTTACTGGCAGTGGTGGGCAGCATTGTGCTCTTAGGAATTATCATCTTAGCTGTCTGGAAGCTGTTGGTAACTATTCACGACAGGCGGGAATTTGCTCGATTCCAAAGTGAGCGGTCCCGGGCGAGATATGAAATGGTAGGTATTAACAGGATGGGAGCTGGAGAAGGGGTAAATGTTGTAAAATGGGAGGAAATGCATAAGTGTGCCACTCACTTTGGGGCAGCTTTGACTGTGACTTTTTCAGTATGGGTAAAGTCATGCCTTTTATGGTTAGGTAAGCCAAGAAGGCTACTTTCAATTTCCTTGAAGGAAAAAAGTGTGCCTTGCACCATGCATTTTATTTTGAACACTGTTTTCTGAAGTGCAGGGGAAGGGAAGAGGCTGTGGCACCAACAGGCCACTGTGTGAGCCAGCAGCTGCCTCTTACCCCCCTCAGCTGTATGTTCAGGGTGGCCACAAACACAGATCGTTCCATAATTGGTGAAAATTGGGAGGGGGGTGGAGTTGGCCATTAGCTCCAGATGATCGGCCATAGTCCCCCCACCCCCTTCCCCAATCATCACTAGGCTATAGGATTGCTCCTTCAATCAGGTGGAGCAGAAAGATTCTGTATGCAAGTCATTTCCAGTTTGGCTACTCAAAACAAACCTCTCATAATTAACATCAAAGAACAGTACTGTTATGGCTCAATAGACTAGTTTGTATAATGACTCTAGGTAAGATTAGAAGACAACAGGTAACACAGTCTGCATCATCAGTGTGTGTGTGGGGGGGTTAATGCCCATTGTGTGCTGGCTGTCATTTCCCTGCACAACTGCAGCTTGTGTCATTCAAGCACAGGCAATTTGGCTTGTTTGAGGTGAAAACTACCCTCAAATGATTAGTAAAAGGTGATTAAAACTTCCTTGACCATGTGACAAGGTGCATTGACATAAGAGCTAACTGGATTCCTTTAGTTCCACTGATTTAAGTGGGATTGAACAGTAACTCAGTTTTACTAGTTTAATCTTACTGTGAAGGCACTTCGCTTTAACCATTTCCCTTTTTGTTTTTAGGCTTCCAATCCTCTTTACCGCAAGCCCATTTCTACACATAGCTTAGATTTCACACTCAACAAGCTCAACAGGACCTATAATGGTACAGTCGATTGACCGAATGCTCAAGACAGGAAGAAGGAATGCTGTGCTTGATCATTGCTTGGCTTTCTCAGCATTTCCCAGACAGAAGGCAGACTCCTTCACAGGGGGACAATACCTTAAAATGAGACTTGAACATCCAGAGAGGGCTTCTATTTTGCACGTCAAGGACCAATGGGCAGTGGCCCATGTGCTCTTCAGATTTCTAACCCAAAGCTACCCCAGTGTACTCAGAACCCATTCTCACTGACCTGGAACTGTTTTGATGCCTTGGAAGTGCCAGCAGATTGAACAACGTGCCATATAGCAGCTTCACCAGTATTGTAGTAGGCTATGATTTGCAGACCCAGTTCATAGGGGCACTGTGCCACTGACAGTTTTTAGTGGAAAAGACTAGTGTTGGAGAAGGTGGTGGATGCATTAAAAAAGGTTGAGGTGTTTATACAGTCTTCAGAACAAATTTTTATAAAAAAAAATAAAGTAATTGCATTTATATGGTGCGAGTGTCATCACCATCATTTCGGTGTGCATCTTTGTCCTTCAGCAAGGGCATTAGGAAAGTTTTTTTTAGCCCATCTACAAGTTCAGAAGAATAATTGCTAAGGCTCTTTATCTGTCATGCCTGAAGCCCTGACAGAGACAGCACCTCACGAGGAGGTCTTGTGCTTGGGACCCTGTATCCAAAAGCCAACCCTGCAACCTAGCTTGGGGTTGGCTGGGCAGATAGCTGCACCTCCCCCTGATTCCCTGCCCATTGAGCAAACACCGGAGCCCACATCAAAGCAAGAGAGCCCTGAGGGAAAAGACACTACGAGTTCTACTCAGGAGTCAGAGCAGGCTGTCCCTCCTCCCACTGACGCTGAACTTCCTGAACATGACACAGGAGACGCAGGGGGCGTAATAGACTTTTCCCTAGCAACCAATTGCAGAATTCTGAGGAGGTACGAGCAAAGGCAGGCCTTGTTATGCCAGAGGGAAGAAAGGGCCAGAGGGAAGAAAGGCGTGACCAGGAGAGCTAGTCCCACCTGGGCTCAGTGAGAGACACCACTAGAGGATTAACATCTGCATTCCAAAGACCTCAACAGAAGAGCTTATCTATAGAGTTGTAACTCTTGTAGACAAGTAGCAATAAAGGACTTTAGTTTTATTGCTCGTGAATGTGTGGGTTGTTTACATGTTGAGCAGCACCTCAACATTATCTGAATCAAATGGCCTGTTCTAGGACAGAGTAGAAAAATCCTATTAACACAGCTTTAACATATTGACCCAATTTCATGGTAGCCCATGGACTATTATAGGGTGTCCTGAAGTTTGTTCAATCCTTAAATAACCCAGGACACCAAGACTTGCGTGAGATGATAAACCGTGGTGCCCTGTCACTATGACTCACTTGTTTGAATGACTGCTGACTCAGATGTCAGAACCCTGTGGATTAATTAACTTATGGCGGCTAATCATGACAAATGAAATGGTCATGTGATGCCTTGTCCAAATGGCAGAGATGGCAGCTGTTAACAGTATGTTCTGTGAACTAAGAGTAGGCTTAGCAGCTGGAAAGAATGTGCCGAGCTTTTGAAAAGCTTTTGGGCCAGTCACAGACTCTCAGCCCAACCTACCTCACAGGGTTGTTGTTGTGGGGATAAGATGGCAGAGGAGATGTAAGCTGCCTTGAGCCCTTTGTAGGAAAAAGGCAGGATATAAATCGAAAAAAATAAATAAAATAATAAATAAAAAAGCAAGAACAAATGAGTAGCTGCAAGGAAGGCAGGGAAATGCTATCCTAAGGGGGGGGGGGGGATCATGAGGCCAACATGCAGCTAAGGAACTGACCAGCATGTAACACCAGCAGTGTGCCTATTCTAAGCCTACTATTACATGTACAAAAGGTCTTCACAACTCTGCAGGCCAATTTCACATACACTAATATGCATTTACCGAAGTGCTTTATCAAGTTACAATGACTGGAAAAACCACTGCTCCAAACATTTCTGACCGTTAGGGAATGGGGCTGGCAGACTTTTTTCCCTGGCCACATGCAGCATTCCTCCAAATTTATGTCAGTCTAAATGTAAGAATTACAAACATACTTTTGTGAGAACATTAACTGGAAAGTTCCAGATCCTTTAATACTTCTTATTTATATTTAGTATTTTTCTTCCTGACAAATTACCATATGATTCCTTCTGGATTATAGCAATGGAATCATTAGCCATTCTGTTATTTCATGTTGCCTCATGCTGAGCATAAGGTTCAGCAGTAGCTTTACAAAATTTCAACTGCTGATCGCAAGGAAAAAATGGCTTTATAAAGCCTATTAAATTATCTTAAGAAACTGAATTGTAAGGTAGAACATCTGAGGTACTTGTAATTAAAGCTCAAGAATTTTAGTTTCTGCTTTGTAAGCTGTTAGCAAGGAAGGGCTTCTAAAAAACCAAATAACCCTCACCCTCTTTCTTAGTAAATTTGTGGGATTTTTTGCAAGCCCCTAACTCACAAAGGAAAAAATGCTTCCTGAAGCTACAGCTGGAGCTCAGCTGAGCCCAGTATAAATTTAAGGGTCCACTACAAATATCCTGGGAACCACTATTGCTCTAAATTTTCCTCCAAAGCACATAAACCAGTTACTCACAAAAATCAATTTGCCCAACCGCTCTGGCCTAAAAGACATAATGGGAAAGCACCATTTGGCCACAGCCAGAGAAAAGTTGAATCACTTGTTGCATGGTTTATGTTACAAAAAGATGAATTTTTATTGCACTCTAGAATAATCTGTGTCCTGATTCATCTCAGGACAAAAGAATAAAGTAGCCAAATTAAATAGGAGAATGGGAATCTAAGAAAAATTTGATGCAGTTCTAAGCACCATTATGAAGACTGCCTCCTCCTAATTTTAACTTTTTAGTAAAATTGTTGGTAAACACTTTGAGACAGAGAAAATCCTACACCTAGTTACCTAAAAGCAAGTCCCATTTATTTTGGTGGGACTTGCTTCTCTGTATTTCTAGAACTGCATGGAAAGACCTGCATTCTGAAAGTCACGTTATAAAGACCATTGGGTGAATCAAAAGTTTTATAACACCCAGTAATGACTGTTCCAAATGCTCAGCTTTTACTGTGAATCTGCTATTGCTCCAGCTGACATAGTGCCGGGTTTTTAGGAAAAGTAATAAATTGTGAGTCTGAATGTTTGAACTGGCACTGTAAATCAGAAAGGGCTGCAAAATGAGTACTTTATTACAACAATGAGCTCTTTTTATATCAAGCTATCATATTTGCTTGATGTAAAGCAGCCTTCCTTAATGGACTACAATGCCCATCAGCTCCAGCCAGCATAACCAATAGAACCTGTAGGCCAAAACAGCAGGACATCAGATTGGGGAAGGTTAATTCAGAGTTGGCAATTTGTGGCCATCCAGAGTTTTTTTTGGCCTATAGTTCCTATCAGCCCTAGCCAGCATAGCAAACAGAGATAATGGGAACTGAAAACCAAAATCTTGGGTGGGCCACAAGTTGCCCACCTGGATGTTAAAATGGTTATTTCAGCAAGCTGCTACAACAAGGATCGCCTCATTAGCACAACTGCAAATAATTCTGCAACTTCTGAGATACATACAGTTCAATCTAGTAGCTCAAACTTAGCATTTCAACAATAATTTGAATGATTATGAAAAGCAAATTGGATTGCAAACAAGCAGTAAGCATATTAGCCCTCCATTTTCAGAATCTTCCTGTAATGAGTTTACCATACCAACAAAAAACCATATATTATAATGCAAATGAGTTGCGATCAATTCTGACCTAGTTCCCATGGAACATGCAACGACAGTTTGGACCAACAGCTGGAAGCATGCATCAAGGAATGTAAACAGTTGGGGCACAGAAGAGAAATTAGCCCTGCATTCAGATTTCTTCACAGATCAGTGCTTGAATGAAGCAGACTGTTCTCCTGCGCCAGGGTAATATAACTATACTTGTTTGTACTTGTATTATTTACATACAAGTAAAAACTGTAATAGTTAACGTTATTGTTGAATATTCATGGCAATGAGTCCTGGAGTATTGTGAAGTTGAGGGGAAATAAAAACACTTTCCATTTTCAGAAAAGTATTCCATTTGCTTTCTAATAAAACCAAAAGGAATTGAGTCTCTGCTTAAAGTATCCATTACCACATTCACACATCTCTTTATGTTTAGAACCCTCTCAGATGATTCAATATTATCCATTTTCTCATTGTGCACCTTAGTTTCTCCATTCAGTTTGGGAGACAGTAACAGCCTTCAGGGCACAGAGAGTGCATAATTCCAGTCAGGGCTGACACCAACATCTAGCATCTTTAGGCAGCTGCCAGGGTCTGACCAATGCCTACTTCTAATGCCTGTATGCCCTGCCACCATTCCTACTACCACCGTCTGTTTTAGTCTGGTTTTCTGACTGGCACTGGTCAGCTAGTTTTTATTTTCAACAATGTCCTTAGCCTATCTTTGCTCTGGGAATTTTGAGAAATTTAAAGGAGGCTAGACCTTTTTGTTAGCTCAACGGACAGAGAAGGCCGAGTACAAGATGACAGCAGCAGTGCATGAGTTTGCAGCAGACTCCAAGTTAGAAAAACACTATATTTGCACTCTGCCATTATATACTAAAATTACAAGTCAATCTTTTATATAGTGAACAGAGGTCTAGATTCCAGCACAACGTATTGCTAAGTCCTAAATCATGAATAGGCTAATTGGTTTGCAGTAAGCAAGAATCAGGGAAAACCAAACAACAATATTCAAACTTCATTTCTTGAAGAATGCAAGGGTTTGTGGCACCCTCTAGTGGCCACAATTTCAAACATCAGTTGACTAAATTGCCTCTGCTGATTGAAGAGGCTAATCCATCCACAGAAGGCCTTTGCTGAACCCAGCAAAGGGATTGGTCATAGTTAATTTATGTTCAATAGCATACAGGACCTTGCTGTTTAATATTAATAATATTTTGTGTATTACAGTTGTAAACACATGCAAGGAAACTAAGGCAGATAGTGGACTTCAAGCTAAGCCTTGAAATTAAAACCCACTTACCTAATTTTCAATTAAAGCCTTCCTATCTCAATTTTTATCCACCCTCAAAGACATGTGCTCCTCTCACACTCACAGTCTGCTCCTCCTCCCATTCCCCCTTTCTCAGTGGAGGAGAAAATTCAACTCCTGCATCAGTACCACGTTTCAGAAAAGCCATGTCTGCACTATATTGAAAGAAAGCCATTGTTTTGCTTAAATCAGAGCTTCAGTTTTGGTTCAAAGTACTGAAAAGGCAAGGAAGGGTGGAATCGAGCTAGGAGAATGAAGAATAACAGAGCACTAAGGGTGGTAAAGAAAAAAAATGACATTTCTGATATCCTAGCCATGTTAAGAAGCTCAAGAAACATTGCCCTGTACTGAGCCTACCAATTATGCTGCAAGTCACACATAGTGCAAGATACTTGCAGTATAAATGGAATGTGGCATTCAAGGAAGCTGAGTTTTAAATCAGTGAATGTAGAGATTTTTTTTCCCATTCACAAAAAACTCTGTAACATAACTAGGAATGACAATTTAATTCATTCTGTCACAACAAGCAGTACATATTACATTTCAGGCAATTGCTAACAAGAACAACACATTTCCTCAACTTAGCATGAGGTTGTCACAATATAGGATGGAATGATTCATCTGTGCATACTGTCATCAAGGCACCCATTAACACATGGACAAGTGTAACAATGCTGGGCTACATCCAACATTAGATTACCAGATTGCTGCTCATACAGCAGGAACATTGATTCCTCCTTGTCCCTGCCAGCCCCCTCCCCTGTGCACACCTCAAGTCGACTTAAGGAATCTCCTGACCCTTCACAACGTATTTGGAGACCTGTGAGGGCTGCAATGGGAAAGGAGAATTTGATCTGCCAGCAATACAAAGACACCAGAGGATATAATCAACAACCTAAGGCAAAAAAATAGTCATTTCCCAGCAAAAAATATTCAAACATGGATCCGAAATGCCCAATGCTGAGACAGAATATTTTCTTTAAGCAGAGGGCTTAGCCACATCCCTTACAATGTATGTCAGAATTGCCCATACTACTAGATGACAAGAATCTATCTGATTTCTGGCTCTGTAATTTCCAAAATGCCCTTTGGGGTGCTTTTTTGGTTTTGCTTTTCATCAGGGTGCTTTCATTTGTACTTCTCTAAGCAAAGAAGAAGCAGAATTCTAAAATCAGCTGAACAGGAAAATTGCTGTTTCAGCTCAAGTATCAAAAACATTACAGCAAAATTCTCAAATATCTCAGTGGGTGATTTATTTTAACATACATAACCATTTCCTGAGGGGAAAACCAAGAACTACCCTCTTGATTATTCCCACTTTTAGGACTGGTTTTCTTAATGAAATGCAATACTTGGGTTAATTTTGTGCACTAACACCAATCCTCTGCAAATAACTTTCCCAGGCCAGCTTCCTATATGCTTCTGCTGCCTCCAGGGCTCTGGGCACAGACAAAATCCCACGGCCTACAATGATGATATCTGAAAGTCTTTTACCAATAACTTCTTGAGGAGTTAGGTACTTCTGCCCAAGGCTATCACCTGCAAGATACAAGAAAAAAAAAGTTGTACAATTGTTTTGCTTGGTATTCTGAAGTTCTCTTTCGATGGGAATTTAAAGGAACATGTAAAACTCGAAGAAGTCAACATTGGGTACATTCAGTCCTATGTTCCTAAAGGCTAGTAAGATATGCACAGAACAGCACACCCCAAAATGATCTCTCCAAACTAAGTCAACGAAGGAAGAAAATGGCAGGAGATCCAGGGTAAGTAATCATAAACTGAGGTAGGGTGGAGCAACCCCCCCTCCATTTTACAAATTCCTGATGTGTTCTGAACTGGTGGTGATCAGAACTGAGATCTTGAGGAAACTGGATTTGGCAGGAGTGAAAAAGGGCAAAATTCACAGCAGGAATGACTAAGAAATAGGCTGAATAGAATTGCCAAAATCAAACAGCCTTGCATGGTGTAGTTTGATGTAGGAATATTATGAGTAGTCTTTCTTGGAACTGAAAAAGGTGCAGAAGAGAACCTCAAGATGGTCAAGAGGTGAGAACAGCTTCCACAAACTGGAAGAAAGGCTAAAGAACTTGGAAGTTTTAAGCTGATAAAAATGAATGATATTGGGGAACATGATGGCATTGCACTGTTCTGAAAAAGAGTGCTCTTATTATACTAGAAAAGAATCATTGAACAAAACTAACAAAAGAAAGCATTTATTCATACAACACATAACTAATGTATAAAATTCACTGCCACAAACTAAGATAACCACTTGTTTTAATTCCATTTTAGAAAGCCATCTAAGCAAGTCATAAGGCCATGATGGACAACTCAAGCAAGTATATTCAAGGGGACTTGCTGGGGAGCAATGGCAAAGGAGGACCTCTGCCTTTCTCATAAGTTTCTGACTGGTCATCATGGGAAGTCAATATTAGATTAGATGAAACCAGCAGGATCCTTACACAATTGAGCAGGAAGAAGGCAGCAAGCCTTCCAAAAGTGGCAGAGAACACTTCCAGGGAGACACTGTGTGCCGGTCTCCCCAGGCCATGCCCATTTATGCTGCTTCATACTCTTACCTTACAGGGTTAGGCAACAAAAAGTAGTACCAAGTTAAACATAAGTAGGCATACTCAAGATAAAGCAGTCTTTGCAATCTGGTTTCAGTTTAAGGTATAAACACAGACTGCACCAGGAACACAGGAACTGCATTCACAGAAACATACTTGATAGCTGCTGTTTCCACAATGGTGTTACAAATTCTAAACTTGCATATATCCACAGCAATCTGATTTTCTACAATCAAAATGTTTACTTCCAAGTATGGCTCTCAAACAATACTGTAGTAAATTACTGGAAAAAGCATCAGGGTTATTTAAGAAAAGTATACAGGGCATATGATTTTAGTGCCCTTCCTTGGCCCCCTCATTTATGCAAGTTTTATACTTGTATTACCCCTGCTCCTGGAGGCACACCTTAACATGTGCAGAATCCAGTGCTGTGGGAGAATTTGGCTATGGGGTAAGAAACAAAACAGGAGAATGACTCATAGAATTCTATGAAGCCAACCATCTGTTTATCACAAATGCAAACTTTGGGCAATTCATCAAACAACTGCATGCATGGACATCACCAGATGGCCAATGCAGAAATCAAATAAGCTACATAACTGGAAATAAAAAAGGGAGAATCTGTATTCCCGCTGCCAAAACAAGACCAGAAGCAGATTGTGGCAGTGACCATGAACTCTTACATAAAAAATCCGAGTAAAGCTGAAAAGATCACTAACAGAAGCATAATGTCAAATACAACTACAGTAACATTCCTGAGTAATTTAAAGTCCACAAAAGAACAGATTTGCATCATTGAACTAAACAGACCATGAGCCAGAGAAACTGTGAACGGAAACCAGAAACATGATAAGAATGAAAAAAGATAATTCCTGTAGCAAAAAGAAAAGAAACCCTAAATAGAGGACAGAAGAAATACTCACACTTGCTTAGGACAAGTGAGAAGCAGTAGAAGAAAAAGGTGACAAAAATAGAATCAGATTCCTGAAAGCAATGCAAGATCAAGTGTAAGTATGTTTTACTGACGAACAAGGCCAAGATCATGCATGTGTTTTTATTCCTGATCACTATCTTGTGTGTGAAAGATGGACAGTGAAGAAAGCTGACAGGATGTGTTCAGCACACAGTGCTAGAGGGAAGCTTTGTGAATACCCTGGACTGGCAGAAAGACAAACAAGTGAGTCGTAGATCAAATCAACCTAGAACTTTCCCTAGCAACAAAGATGGTGAAATGGAAGCTGTCAGACTTCAGGCAAAACACGAGAATGCAAGAATCATTGGAGAAGAAATGCTAGGGGAAGTTGAAGGCAGAAGAAAAGGAACACCAAATAAAAGATGGATCAGTTCCATAAAGGAAGCCACAGCCTTGAGTTTGCAAGAGTTGGCAAGGACAGGACATTTTAGATACCATTTATTCATAGGATTGCCATTAGGTGAAGACAAACTGATGGTGTGTAACAACCACTTATATTAGTCCTCTGTAGATCCATTCACCATCTCCCCCCACTTTCTTCACTGGAGGGAGACATAAACATCTGGATGGGGAGATTCTACAGTTATTTGTATATGGTCTCACTTAGAATTCCAGGTTTGGGATGTGAGGACTATAACGTCAGTGGAACGACTGGGGACTTTGGTTGCCATTTCACCCCAGTCGGTATGAAAATTAGAAAACTGTGATAGCTTACCTCTCAATCAAATCTTCTAGTAACTCCTGAAATACTCCATACTTTCAAATTAAGTGCCTCATTTGTTAACATTCCAAACAGTCACTTCCACAAAAATGCTCACCTCCAACCTGCATCTGAACACCTGGAGTCAAGTGAAGAAATTCAGGTTTTTCAACAATTCTGGAACCAGAAATAAATCCCAAAACAAAATCTGAGTGTTCTTCAGCCATTTTAACCTAAAAACAAAACACACACAAGAACCGTCTTACTTCCAGTAAAAAAAAGAAAAGGCTTTATGTAGCTTGTTCTAAAATGTGGTAACAAACAAGAAACAAGGATGGAATTATACTAGCACAAACTTTTGGCCTTCAACATTTCAGACAAGAGAATAAAGAAAGAGAACATGTGGAGATGATATCAGTGAGAATGATTATATTTGTATAATAAATATTGTATGCCTCTACTCAGAGATGCCATCACTTCAGAAACAAGAGGGCATGCCAATCACAAATATGCCTGTCCATACCCCTCCTTGGCTGGGCCTCAGATGTCACAATTACCCCCTTCCCTTTCCTTCCACTGCTACCCACATTTGGCTTTCATTTATTAGCACTGCTAACTTCAGTGCATCGGCTCAAGCATGGTTGTGGTGCTCTTCCCTCTCCATTCCAAGTGAATCCATTTTCACAGTCAGGGAGGGCTTCAGCCAGTATTCTTCTTCTTGGACACATTCAATTACAGAAGAGGGAAATGACACTCAAAAGGTTCGAACAAGCTCATCCATGCTTTTGGATAGCAAAAAAAAGAAAACATGATGCCTTCAAGAAATCTAGTCCTTCTCGAGAGAAATGAAAGCTTCAACTCACCACAGCCTTAGTATAGTCACCAGTGGCCAGGGACCCTTCCGAGCTCATTTCTCCAATCAGGAGACATCCTCGCTGTAAAGGATCCCCCACTTCCTTCAATCCCTGAACAACTCCTGGTCCAGGGACCGCATGGGCATTCACGATATCTGACCAGGATGCTATCTTGAAAACACCACCTAAAGGAAGAAGAGAAAAATTCTGCATAACTTTCCTAGTCAGAAAACTGTTTAAAATATGGGTGTGGGACCCTTTTCACAGCTTTGTTCATACTGAAGAAATACTGCTTGGGACAGAACCCACACCTAAGAAGGCCATAAAATTTAAGTACATGAATTTTATAATACTTAGTATCCGCAAGGAAGGACCAATGCATCAGTTTCTCATTTTTCCAGTCTTTTGTTCCAATTTGCTTTGGCAACCGTATGCAATATTTAAAGCAAGTATGCATGAAACATCATTATGTATTTTTGAGTGTTTCTCCTACTATATGCGTTTTTGTATGTGATTCTGCCAAATAAACACGCTGAGAAATTTTCTTTAATATAATGAAAATAAAAGGGCAGTTTCTAATGGGTCAAGTACATGTATTTAAAATTAAGATTAAAATTAAAATTACGCAACCCAGTACAAAAATGCAGTAGTTATAGCTTAAAAAGGGGAGGGGTTGGCAGATGGGAAATTTACCTTCATATTGATGCCTCACAGTATTTCCAATGTCTGCAAACTTGCGGTCTTCAAATATCAAGAATTCGTGCTGGTCTGCAAGCCTTCTCAACTCTTGTATTACATCCTGGGTGAAATCATCCAGGATGTCCACGTGAGTTTTCAAGATACAGATGGAAGGCCCCAGAGTGGCAGCCAGCTGCAGCAGTTCTTTGGAATTGGTCACATCAGCAGAAAGGCACAAATTAGACCTCTTCTTTTCCATGAGCCTGAGAAGCCGAGCAGCTAGGGGATGGGTGCCTGGCAGCTCAGCCCGAGCAGCAAAACTCATTTCTTTGCACTTTCTTTTCAGAGAAGCCATGCCATTTTGCTCAGAAGGTTTAAAAGTATTGTCCTGAATGAATTTTTTCACCTTTGCTACCATCTCAGGAGCAACTTTTTTCTCCTGCTCAAGGATCTTGAGCATCTGAGACAAGGTACAAACAGAATGTAAGTGAATTCCATGCTTTTCCAGCATGGCTTTCCCCCCTTGCTCTCTGTCCAACAACACAATGGCATCAGTAACCTTCAAACCCTCTTTCCGAAGGACCTCAGCTGTCTCCAAGACACTTGAACCGCTGGTAACTACATCTTCAATAATCAGACAAGTGTCTCCTGGATTTATTGCACCCTCCACAAGGCATCTGGTACCTTTGAAAGCAAAAAGGACGACACTCAAACCACCAATACAAAAATTGTTCAGGTGCTGTTATTAAAGAGTAAATGGACAATACCCCTGTTATTAATAAATAACTCTAGTCTGGAACATTTTTACAGAATGTTTCCTACAGCATCAGTGTGCTAATTATCCCTAAAGAATGGCCTGAAAACCACTAAAAGCAACAAGCTAATGCAAATACAAAATGTTCCTTCAGAAATTAAAAACCTATTCACTAGCTTGCAAATATATTTACTATATTCACCCACTGTTATATACACCAATATTTACAATCTAGATGAATTTTGATTCTTGTTACCATAATCTTTAGCCTCTTTTCTCCGTATAAGCATTGGGATCTGATTCTTTGAGCAGATGATGGTAGCCAATGGCAAAGCTGTGTATGGAACACCACACACGGAATTATACTTGAGTGTCTCATCCTTTGCAATTTGAAAAAGGAGATCAGCTACCTGGAATAAATAATTGCAAATTCAGAAGACAGGTGGCTAGCATACAGACAACAATGCATTATCAACAGTTTATGGAAATACAGTGGTACTTCGGCTCATGAATGCCTTGGTTAATGACTAAATCATGTCGCGAACAAAAATTTCATGAAAATTTTGATGTGGGTCGTGAACTCCGCATTGGGTGGCGACCAAGATCGCAGCCATCTCCCCACCCCACCCCTAGTGGGGAGATGGCCACAATCACAGTTGCGTTTGTGCAGGGAAGATGTACGTGATCACAAGCACACTCCTGCAGGAAAGACAGGCGGAATCTCTGCCATCTCCCTCACTGCGCCCAGCACAATTGCAGGGGGTGGGGTGGGGAGATGGCAGAGATTGTGCCCGTCTCTCCCTCCCCCAGTGTGCTCTGTTCATGCCCGTCTCTCCCCCTCCACAGCGCACTGGGATGACAGGCGCGATCTCGGTCATGCTGGGGAGGATGGAGAGATGGCCGTGTTTGTGCCTGGGGAGGGGAGATGGCCGTGATCTTTGTTGTTCTTTGGCACTTTGTTTCACATTATTCTGATTTAAAAAATGGTTACAGAACGGATTAACCTTAAAGGAAAATTTAACTTGGCTCACGATCAATTTGGGTCACGACCAGAGTCCTGGAATGAATTAGGTTCGTGAGCCAAGGTACCACTGTACAAAGTCAATGAGGGATTTGCCAGAAAATGAAAATACAACATAGACATTCATTCATTCATTCATTTATGGAACTTCTTACTTACTTACTTACTTATTTATTTAGGGAACTTCTATGCCGCCCCATTCGCTGAAGCCTCGGGGTGGCTCACAAACATAAATAAATAGCATAATATAAAACAATATAAATTAAGTCGCCCTGGCCAAAGAATAAAATAAATAAATAATATTAACAATTAAAATAACGTTTGAATAAAAAGGTCTTCGCCTGGTGCTGAAAAGCAAATAATGACGGCACCAGGCAGACCTCTCTGGGGAGCGCATTCCATAGGTGGGGCACCACTGCAGAAAAGGCCCTCCTCCAGGTACTCACCCTCCTAATATCCTTCACGGAGGGTTCCCGGAGAAGGGCCTCTCCCGCTGATCTCAAGGGGCGGGCGGGCATATATGGATGTAAGCGCTCCTTCAGGTAATCAGGACCCAAGCCGTTAAGGGCTTTATAGGTCATCACCAACACCTTGAATTGGGCCCAGACTTCAATGGGAAGCCAGTGAAGCTGATGGAGAACTGGAGTCATGTGAACATAACGCCCAGTCCCCGTCAGCAGCCTGGCAGCTCTATTTTGAACCAACTGAAGTATCCGGACCGTCTTCAAGGGTAGCCCCACGTAGAGCGCGTTACAGAAGTCAAGGCGGGAAGTCACCAACGCGTGTGTCACTGTCGCCAGGTAGTGACCGTGTTATCCTGATTCTTGTGATCTGTCCTGACTAATTATGGCTGCATGAAACCTCTTTTTTGTTTTACATGCTAAAATTGACTTTTAAATCATGGAAATGACCAGTATTCTCTTTACAGACATCTTTCTTTCTTTTTAAAAAACATGTTCTAATCTCCTTGCTTTCAGGATCCTACTTAGGTGATTCCTTTATACACCTAACAAAGTGAGTCATGGCCTACAGAATATTATGCCATGACTAAGGGAGCAATTCTATGTATTTTAATTCTATGAATCCTAGCATTCTGCTGGCTGGGACATACTGAGAGTTGTAGGCATTTTTCTGTCTGAGCATACATAAGATTGCACCCTAAATTGTTAAGTCCTTAAGTGACACAAAGATTATTTACTAGAAATAGACTATAATGCTCTTCCCCTTTATGGAGATGCTCCATGTGAGCTGCTTTGATGTCTCCAAACATAAAATAAAATGCCACAGAAACATAAAGTGATGACATTGAACTTTAAGAAGTGTAAACTTTACAACAGCCTCTGACAACCTGCCATTTTCTACATGTTTCAATCTTTAGTTCCTCTCAGCCCCTGCCAGCATGGCTGCTGGTCAAGAATACTGGAGGCACTAGATCGCAGAGGCACCAAGCAAAGAAAGTCTCCTTTATTCCAACCGTACAGGACATGAATGTTGCTACACACATGAGTAAGTCCTTATCTTACCTACCAGGTCTGCAACCACTAAGTGGCTCTAAATCTGCCCCTCAGTTTTCTAAGTATGGAGAGGCATGAGAGAGGCTATTCAGAATTATGCATGGTGCAGAAAAGGTGGAGAGGGAGACATTTTTCTTTTTCTGACATAATACCAGAACCCAAGATCACCCCATGAAGTTGGCTGGAGGGAGGGTCAAGAAAGATAAAAGCAGAGCTTCACACAGAGCATAGGTAGCTACAGAATTCACCCGCACAAGATAAAGTGATGGCCCCTAATCTGTACAGCTTTAAAGTGGGGGTGAGGTGGGCAAATTCATGAAGGAGGAGGTTACTGGCCATTAATCCGGATGGCTTTGCGCTTCCTCCTTTAGCAGATGCAGCATACCTGCATACACCAGCTGCCGAGGAGTTCGGGCAGGTGGAGGTCTTGCACCCATCCTGCTTGAGGGATCCTGTGGGCAGCCAGTTTGCCACCGCGTGAAGGAAGCACTGCACTAGATGGACCCTTGCTCTCTTCCTGTTCTCCGCGTATTCCTCTGCTCGACTGCCACGGCCCTGCGCTGGTCATCAGCGCCCTCCCTCCGCTTCTCTCTCTCTTTCAACCGCGCCGGTCCGGCTCCCGCCTCGCCCCCTTTCCAACTGCTTCACCCCCGCCTACAGTCTGCGCGAGGTTCGTACCTTGTTGAGCAGAGCCGGGTGTGATACAACGACGCGCAGGTCAATATAAGCAGGGGAGACCAGGCCGCTCTTCAGCACGAACTCCCCGAAGCGCAGCGCGCGAACCCCGAACAGCTCGCACGCCAACAGCTCCATCGCCCCTGCACCCGCGTCCCTCGTGGCGCGCGAGCCTGGGTGAATGGCGCATGCGCCGCGACGCCAAGTCGCCCGAGAATGACGACTCAGGCTCCCGCTCTGAGGGTGCTAGGGAACCGGGACGGGCGTGCTGGGCGATTCGAGCCGGACGTTCTCGGCGACTTGCGCGTTTTTCCGAGCCGCGCCCGCATCTGGGATCGTTTGCTCCCCGCCCTGGTTACAGCAGTCGTAGGTGAGATTCAGTAGCTTGCATTTGAGTGGGCTGTTCGCGCCGATCTGGCACGTTCGGGGCCACGACGCTGTTTACTTAGAACGAAGGAGCGCTACCCAATCAGGCCTGCGGGCGCTTGTGCGCCCTCCGGGAGGGTGGAAAGAGCGGAATCTCTCACGTTCCCCTCGTATCGTTAAATGCTGCCCTTACCAATTGCCCGACGGGACTGAAGGAAGCGAAGCCAAGACGGGCGAGTGCGAAGAAGGCGCTTCCAAGCCGCAGATTTGAGGCTCCCGAAGGGCGAAGGACGCAACTCCCTTTAAGCTTGGGCCGAAAAACCTTGCCGCTCCCAGCATTCCACAAGGAGTCGTGTTGCCTGGGGCATATGGGGGCTTGTGAAGCCTGAGATGTCCAGACCGAAAAGCCCTACATCTCAGAGTGTTCCATAATAAAGCTGTGCAATGCGATACGCGCTTACTAGTGCTTCTAGTACTTCTGAGGAATCGTGTTCAGGACTGAACAATAACTTTGGTAACCTTATGCATTGCCTGGTGTTTATTATGACGCTCCTGATGAAGCGGCCTCTGAACAGTTTAGGTCCTAATTGTGTTATCCTCAAGGCTCTTCGTTGTATGATTACCGTCAGTATCCTGGTCTTGCTGGAGGAGGGTTGAGGGTGGATTTGGACAGCGACTTGCACACATCCTGCTAGCAAGGCCAGACACTGAGATGGCGTTTAAACTGGAAGCATCTAACACCACAGAATACATTACACTAGCTTTACATTATAATCCAGTATTGTGTGCATTGAGTATGTATCATATATGCAGATGAAGAATGTGCATGCCTCTCCTCCTCGGATCTCGACCTATGTCCATATTATATATAGCTTGAAGTAATTTATAAGAATATCCCTTTTGAAATTATGTTTGCATATTCTGCATGTGTAGCAAGTTGTTTTAAATGTGTTAATTTGTATAACAAGCCAGAGAACTTCAGCTATGGGGCAGTATAGAAATGAAATACATTGTTATTATTGTTAATATTATGATGCAAGATACATGCCTTTTTAAACATATTGTGAGACCTGCAGGGACTGCTTAAATAAATGATGTGATATTTAACTGCCATTTTACAGCTTATAACAATAACTTATAACAATGCAATGAAAGGCATATTCATTGTATGCCTCATACATGCCCCGTTTTAATTCTTCTGCATTCTACTCAGAAGTAAATTCAACTATTTTCAAGAAGATTTACTCCTATGGAATTGTAAGCTGGATTGCAGCTTGACTTACTCTATGACATAGTGTAGGCTGAGTTAATTGACTCAGACTTGCTGAGTCAATTATATCCATATATTTCAGAGCTTTTATACTTGAAAACAACAATAGATACAACACACAGTCTTTTATATACTGTATTTATAAGGAAGGCAATAGCCTAAAATGTAGATTTTACATCTGTAGATAACATATACTGCCAAAGAATAAGAACACATGATAGGAGGAAATCACTTTACAACATTACATATGAAGGGTCAGAAGTATAAATAAACTATTTACAAAATGTATCTTTAGAAAACACATATGCATATAAAATTAAATCAACAATAAAATGAGATAATAACACTTAAGGCAGACCAGCAAAAGACTGAAAATCTTTAAGGCTTTGGAATTCATTTGCACCTTGAAAAAATGTGAAGCTCTTAGAATCATAAAATTTAAGAGTTGGAAGGGACCTTGGAGGTAATCTATCCCAAACCCTGCTTGGTGCAGGAATCCTGCAACTATAAGCATCCCTGACAAATGACTGTGCAGCCACTGCTTAAATACCTCCAGCAAAGGAAAGTCCCACTTGACAACCAGTCTCACCCCCCACTCCAAATTACATGATAGTTGCAAATATTTTAACAGCACAATCCTGTACATGTTTAATCAGAAGGAAGTCCCACTGAGTTCAAAGAACCTTACTTCTAAGTTAGGTTTCAGTTCTATGCACATTTAGACAGAAAAAAGTTGTACAATTCCTAGCCTCAGTGAGCATGGACTGTGGCGTAAAAGGTGCATTTTTGTTGTCTGCTGTTCAGTTTGCATGTCAGACCTTATTTTCAATACAAGTATTACAGTCAAAATACCTGTGAGCAAAAGCAAATAGAACAGTTTTCTAGAAAGAGAAGTAAAAGCACCAGCACTGAAAAACTGGGCATGGCGACAAAATATGGCTTAAGGTGCTTTTTTTCTACTCCCTTCAGACTAGCAGATTACAGAATTCTGACATCATGTTAACAGTCACTAATATAATGATTTCAGAATAGCAGTTTGATATTTGATGACAATTATATAACCAGATTTGAAAGTGGTGAAGTGATCTTAGAGTATTTCCTTAGAAAAGCACTGTTTTCTGTTGGATCATACACAGTCAGAATGGATGATAAACCGGATCCCATCTTCAATAAGTGGTTGGGAAAGAAAAAAGGCTACTTATGTCATGGCACTCATGAATCAGATTGTGTATAGCAATTCCTCGTTAAAAACCACTGGTCCTAAAAGCTAATGCTTGCCACAGGCAAGTAGCAGTTCCAGGGGGGAACATGCCTCTGTATCAGAGACACGGCAGAGTTTCAGTGAGGGCCATATATTAAGCATGCAATCCTATGCAAGGATAGACAGTAAAAGGCCATACAACTGCCAGCATTCTGCAGCCAGCCTAGGATTAAAACTGCTAACACCAAAAACAAGATTCAGGCATTTACATTCATAAGACTCGGATGACTTTTTATGTTGTTTAATGTTAATATGCAATCACAGTTAATACAGAAGAGAGGCATTTGTAATGCAGTCAAGCTTTCTGGAAAATGTAGGTGTCACATTCATATTACAAAGCCCTTTGAAGCAAGGCTTTGTGCCTGAGAAAACGCCTTCTATCTATTTTTTGGACTTCATATTTATTTCCTGGCAAAGCAGCCATATGCTTGCAACAAAAATTCAAATATTTGTTTCCCCTGGTGATTATTTCATAGTGATAGGTAGCTAACCAAGGACATTTATCCTGTACTTGCATGAGAGCTAGAACACATTTTGCATTTCTTTGAGATCATAAATATAGTCCAAAAGCGGGTGCACAATGAAACAGATGGAGTAACTCTTTCACATATGCACTAAGGATCAGAACTGGAAATGCAGGAAGGCATTGGGAACACGTGGTTATCACACCTAAAAGGAACAAAGAGGTATGCCAAAGATCCACCTTTATTTTTTCCGTCACACCACATCAAAAATGTGTTACTTACATTGACCCCCATCCAGCTAAAGTGATCCATGACATACAGCACAATCTTCTCTATGATTTTTTTTTTCAAACAAGGGCATTGTGTCCTGTACTCTTCATTGTAAATATACACTTGAGTTTACTCTACAGGAAATATGCATAGGATTTTTGTTTAGGTCTTATTGAAAGCAATGGGATTCAAATTAGGTTTCAGCAGAATTCAGCCACAGCTACCATCAGCTGGATCTTGATGATTGTTTTTACCTGAGCCCATGTATCTGCCTCTGGATGATTGTCAGTGCCTTGAGGAAATTGTGACAACTAAAATAAAGAGTTATTTCCATCCAACAAGTAGTTATATGATCCTGGCATTGGTTTAAAGAGCAAGCTTCTTGAGAAAAACAATAGGTAAAAAAAGCATTTTTTTCACTGAGAAGTGTAAACAAAAGAACTTTGGCTTCTTTTCCTAGGGAGAGACACCCTACCTTGTTAATCCATATTTTCTAGCCAGATGATCTAAAATAGGCTGCGTTTCCTATACTTGCTCCTCTCCTGTATTGATTATTTGTTGTCTAGTAAGGCAAGAGAAAAAATTCAATTAACACATTCACCATGTTTGCCTTTCCCATATTAGTAAAAATGTGAACAGCTCCTGATCTAGCAATATAATTCTCAGTGGCAAAAGGGTGATGGGGAAGTAGTAAAAAAAAAATCATCTCCAGAGGAAAGGAAACATTAATTTAAGTCAGGGTGATTGTTGTTTAAGCACTACATAAGTCTTACAAAACATGGAGCTTTTTCTGACTACACAAGGAAAGAAGGTACATAGCAAAGCAAAGCCAAAGCCAAAACCAGAAAAAAGGAAGCCTCCAAGAAGCACTAGGAAAAATATACCCTCAACAATGAAGAAAAGCATCCCTGAAAATGGCCCAGTTCATCCATAACAATCCAAGATGAGTCATATGCCTGTCTGCATCTCCTTACCCCTTACCTCCTCCTTTGGTGAAACTTACGTGGTTTTGTATAGTCCAATTTATCTGAAATCTGAACCAAGGAGCTTTGGGTTAAGACTCTCTAATAAGCCAGAATATTAAACCAGGATCCTGGTCCAATAAACCACAATTTACTGCAATTATTACATTTGAAACAGTCTTCAACCAAAATACATGGAGCCTAATAAACTATGTATTTCTAGCTTACACAGGGATTCGTTTTTTTGTTGTTTTTCTTAACCACAGACAGACACTGTAGTTCAATAGCTGAGCACATGTTTTGCATGCAGAGGCCCAGGTTCAATCCCTGGCAACTCCAAGAAAGGCAGAAGTTCTTGCCTGAAACCCTGGACAGGCACTGCTAGTCAGTGTTTGCAGAAGTGGGCCAGATGGACCCACAGTCTGACTCCTTATAAGGCAGCTTCCCCTGTTCCTAAACCTCTTGAAGGCAGAACAGATGCAGATGCTGAGGCATCCTCAAGAATATACCCCTATATCAAGAATTAGAACTCTGTTAAGCTGTCTGGGGAAACTTGGATGATGGCTTTGAAAACATCAGCTTACTATTGTGTCTGAAAACTGGTTCTTCTCTTTTACTGTGTTTGCTATACAACTGAGACCATGGAGGGGATGTTATGAGATCTTTCGTGACCCTTCAAGCCCCAACAGAAGGGGCTCTGACTCATCATGACAGAGCACATACAGACAGTAAAAAACCAAGCCCTAACTGACCACGATGTACCTGTAAACACTTGTTAAATTGGTGCAGTTAGGTGAGGAAGTGTGGTGAGATTTTCCTTATCATTTGGCAGGACAATAATAATTGCTAAATGGTGAGTTACCATGAAGCAAATGGTCATCTGGTTTCCCTCCTCTTTGTTGTCTCTTTGACTAAGGGTTTTTTTTTATTATTATTATTTTCTGCCAAGTCTTACTTTTCATACAGACTCAGGTAAAAGGGCTTTCTGTCTATGTGCTCCAACAAGTGGATCCTAAATGAGCATGCAAAGTGAGAGATCTTACTCTCTCCGTGTATGAAGAAGAGACCAATGTGCCTTTACTAGTCTGTAGATCCATTACCACAAAACAGTAGTTGCTGGGGAATGGGGAGAATAGAAAACCAAGTATAATGAATGGTTGACTGATTTGACTTCTTTCTGCTAAAGTATCCTTGGTGTCAAACAGCTGGATGAGCTCCAACAATGACAATTCAAGGTTGGTATAATTTGGAACTATTCTTCCAAAGCCATTTAGTTGAAAATAGTTAGGTGATATAGGAAACTATTAAATTGTTCTGTGTTTGGTTAATAAGAATGAACTATTGCAATTACTTTTAATATTAATAATCCTTTTGCGTTATTTCACACCAGACTTTGTGACTGAACAAAAATACCAGCACAGATATTTGGATGAGAGGGTTAAGGAGATAGATGCATATGTACAAATGTAAACTACCAGTCTTACAGACCAATTTTGAAGTCATAAGCAGAAGGATGGACCCACTATGTTTACCACACTTTGGCCAACTTTGGATTGATTTCACAACTGAGCAATGTTTAAAACCGAAAAAGGAATGAGATTCTTTCCATCTTACACACTATAGAGAATTCAACATCCTGCAACAGGAAAAGTTGTTGACACCTAGTTTACAGACACAGCAATTATTTTACATAGCCTTTTCTCAATGCACATATTTTGCAAAAGATTTCTGTACAAGAGTTATAAAAATTAGTAAAAAATTGTCTCATTGTGCTTCATCTAAACATGTTTTGTTCCAGTAAATTTACCATCTCAGCAGCAGCATATTACTACTTCATGGCATGTTAACTTTAACAAGAGAATGTTATAGAATACAGAGAGGACTTCTTGGCAATTGGATATTTTGATTTGAATACAGTATACCTAAGTCATATTACAGGCAAACCTGACATAATGATAGCCGAAGGGCTATCTTGCCACAAGGCTAATTCTTACTGAAGATGAATGAAGTCTGCCTTGTAAGATAGAACTGGCTCTTCATTAGGAATTCAAGAAAAGCAATTTCTGCAAAATCTGAAATCCATCCATTCCAGGCTGCTTTTCAGGACAATACTGACTGCCTATTCTTATTTCTTTACTGTCAATTGTCTTTCAGATACATACTTTACATTTTAATAAGATCAGCAAATCTGTCTAGGTCTTTTAGAAGCCTGCCTTTCCAAAGCAAGGCCACAAAGTTTTGGTTCCCATTCTCAACTGCTTTTCTTTTTAACATTCATCTGTATTCAATATGACCACATCATTACAAGAATAAGCCACCAAAGAAGTTGCATATGCAACATCTGAAAGCATCTAATTCTAACTAGTTAGATAATGCAGTTGCTGGAACAGCGCATACACATTCTTGGACACCACACCAAATATATTACTTTATACAGAGAAAGCCAGAGATTCTGCTTTCTCTCTTTTCGTACCAGCCTTGCTTCAGTGTCAAAGCAGAGTCACTATATTGCATTATGTTCCTAGGTTCATTCTGCTCATTATAAAGCTCTTAACATTGGGAACTGGACGCACGTCAAACTGGTGTTTGCGGCGCTCAATGAAGCTGGCTAGGCGTGAGGTATCCAGCGGAATTTTGGAATAGCTGCCATTGTGAAACTGAAGCCAAGGGTGCTGCAAGCAGGTGGCCGCTGTCGGTCTCCTCCGGAAGTCTTCCTGAAGGGTTACAGTGATGAAATCTCTGGCAGCATGGCTTACATCACAGAAGTATTCACTTGGGAAGCTGAAATCCACTCGGCACACATTGATGCAAGTCTCTTCCCTGCTTTCATCCAGAAAGGGGGAGACACCACTTAGCATGACATAGGTGAGCACCCCTAGGCTCCAGATATCTGTGCCCAGGGAAACAGGAGCACCTTGGAGAACTTCTGGAGCAGCAAATTCTGGGTTTCCAAGGAGATGATGAATGTGGTAATGGCCTGTGATTTGAACAGCATCTTCTAGGTCTATTAACTTAACACGAGGCACCGGGATCCGCAAGTCAATGAGCAGATTTTCTGGCTGTAGAAAGTAAAATAAAACACTGCCATTGTTTTTGCAATTAAAAGTTAGTTTACGCCAGCATCGATTCATATTTTCATGGCTACTGCCCATTGGAAAGAATGTGTAAATTAGCACTACTATGTGAAAGGATAAGAAACAGATGTGTTGGGCAGTACTTGTGGGCATTCATTGAAGATGTTTGTGAATAATACAATGTTTGGTACTTACAAGAAATAAACAAACAATGAATCAGAAAAAATGACCTTATGGCACTGAATTCCCCAAAGACTTTGAAACTGATTTTGTACCAACTTCCTTTGAGTTATGATTACTGATACTGAAAGCAAGTTAACCAGGTACCTTAAATGTCTAAATACTATATAAACTGAAATCTTGGCGTTAGCTGCTTCCTGCCCCCTTGCTTGCTTGCTTGCTAGTTGCTTGCTTGATCTTTCCTTCCTACCTTTATATCCAAATGTGCAACTCGACAATTGTGAAGGTACTGTAAGGCTTCCATTGTGTCTCTTATGTAAAAAGCTACTTTCTCTTCCATCAGTTCATCATGATTCATAAGATAGTCTAAGAGACGGCCATCATCCATCCTAAGATCAAACAGTAATTCATTATGAAAAGAAATATAGTGAAAGATCAAAGAATTGCTTAACAGCCAAAACATGCAAATACAAGCAGCATTTTTTCAAAGAAGGAAGTAAAATTTTATGCTCTATTTCCTAATGCCTTCCCCTCCACAGACACACACTGCAGTCTTGGGACTCACTGTGTGAATCTAACACTTGCAGAGATGTCTGTCATATTGCTTTGACTTCAGTGAAAAACATGACAGAAAAGGTACATGCATCCCCCATTATAGCAAATAGGAAGCTTAATTTCCAACACAGGACTTACAGTTCTAAAACTAAGATATAGGAGGAAGGTGATTCATAAGTATCATGAATAGTGATATACTGAGGATGTTGCAAGTGTTGCAACATGGCGGCTTCGTGTGCTGCCTGCTCCTTCTTCTTCATTTTTTTACTAATGAACTTCACAGCAACATCCTTCCTGGTAGCTTTGTGAATGCATTTCTTTACAACAGCAAATCGGCCCCTGGTGGGGAAATGGGAAAAGATTATTCATGAATCAATCAAGCATCTGTTTCAGAACAAAGGCAGAATAGTTTTCTAAAAGCTTTTTCAATCTGTTTATTAATATAACAAGGAATCAAACTACTGAGTTTGTTCATAACTTTATAAAGTTACCAGGTACTTTGTCCCAGCAATTTAGATTCTCTTAGGATTAGAAGAGCGATTATTCATTTGTATAATGAATTATTCTGTCTAGCTGTATTGCATGGTACAGCTTTCTCATTCATTCTTTTTAAATTAAGAAACCTAAAAAATAACAGTTTAAATAAAAAGCTGATCATGGACAGAAATAAAATTCCCTTTTAACTTTGTAGGCTATTTATGTACATATGACACATACAGAAACAGATATATGCAGGAAGGTTTGATTGGCTGCAGAGCAAGCCAGGATGAGCAGAGAAAAGGAGAGAAGATGGTTCAGTAAAGTTTTGTCCCAATCACATCCCATGCATACAGCTGTGTTTCCTAAGGGTTACACATCATTCCCTCTAATTTACCGAACAGCACCTTATTCTGAGCAGAAACTGCTGCATCCAGATTTTGTCAGAGTTATTTTCTTTCTTATGGATATTGTTTACTTGCCCACATCCATCTCCAGCTCCCCCCTCCATCTCCAGGACCTTCATCTATAACTTCATGATGATAAGAAAGGGCAACTGAAAGGATCGAGATTTGGAGCAACTCCCCTATGAGGAAAGCTTACAGCAGCTGGCTTGGAAAAAAAGGCAAATAGGAGGAGTCTTGGTACAGATGTACAAAAGTGTGCACTGTATGGAGAAGGTGAATGGGGAGACAGTTCTCTTCCTCTCTTAGAATATTAGAGCTGGGGTCAATCCAGGAAGATGAGAAGTGGGAGAGTCAGGACAAATAAAATGCTCCTTCACATAGTGCATAGTTAAACTATGGAATTCACTTCAAAAGATGCAGCGGTGGCCGCTCATTTGGCTGGCTTTACAAAGGGCTTTAAAATTCATGGCGGATAAGGCTACCAGTAGCTACTAGCCCTGAGATACACCAGGCGTGGGGGAACATGGGCAGGAGGGTCCTGCTGTAGTCATGCCTTTCTTGTGGACGGCTGATTGGCTGCTCGTGCAGAGACTGCTGCATCAAATGGCCCCGTGGTCTCATCCAGCAGGGCTTGGCTTACGTCCTTGTGGTGTGCCCTCTAATGGCAGGAAATGGCATGCAGAGCCAAGGGACACAGAGGGCGAGAAGGGTAAACTCTTGACTGCAGCTCGCCCTGCATGCAGCTACTCCTGCCCCAGGGACTTTTCAGTGCTCTTTACTGTGTGTGCAGGCAAATGCAGAGGTGAACAAGCATGCGTAAGAATAATGCCACATGGTTGTCCCTTGGTAAAGGAAAGCTCATTGAGTCTGAACTTCAAAACTAGCTCTCCACTTAAAATATATAAAATATTTTGGTCCTAAGGCTTATTTCTAACAGGGTTAAAATAGGCAGGCTGCTGATTTGTATTTTGTCAAGTGATCACAAAATCACAAAAAGAGGCCTGCATCTGCGTGGATCCCCATTTTAGGAAACGTCAGTTGCTGAGAAATGTTGGTGGGAATACTGCACCACCGTCCACCGAGGTTGTCCCAGTGGGTTCTCACGTGTTCTCTCAGCTCCTTGAGAATGACATTTGCCTAAAACTAAAAGAGAACTTCAGTACCCATACTGAAGTTGAGTATGGCACTGAAGAGGGGATGGTGGATGGACTGTGTGGGGTAACCACTCAGAGAACTACAGTTATAGGTAAGTAACCTGTCTTTTTCCTTCATGGCCTTTGTGTGGAAGAGAGGACTGTGCCGTCAGACGTGGCCTGAACATCTAGCGAATGGTGCTGAACAAGCATTGACTTTGAATGACATAGAATGGGCTTGGAATGGGGCAGAAAGTTGGAGAAAGTCAGAGCTGATGTGTTAGCGGGACTGCCCTGAAGACTCATAAAGTGAAGTATGATGACATCAGGAGTCATGTTGCCCTAATAGACAAACTAATGGGATCGTGGGCAAACTCAGTCCTCAGCTTATAAAAGACAAGCATCAAGAGCGTGAAGGCTCAGCTTAAGTAGCATAGGTGGTAAGGAAAGGAAAGCTGGAAGAATGATTTGATTCAGACAGAAATACAACACCAGTTTGGGAAAGAAACTGACATTAAGAAAGAGAGCTACGTGAGATAAGGGAGATATACACACAAGGCACATAGTTCCCCATGTAACCAACCAAAATGCCATCTTCCAAGAAGGACACAAAGATCTACATTGCCAGAGGCTTGAAGGGCTTAGTGGATAATGTCTGTGGTTTGCCCAGAGCAGCACCCCCAATTTTACCACCTGGCATTGGAATCAGGTCTTATCTTGGGACCAATACAGCCAATTGTTACTGGGGATTGTAGCCTAATGGAAGAGCAGGAACTACAATAGAAGCCGCTGACCACAGTCAGTGCTGTATGAGTGCTGCCACATTTCCAGAGTCTTTGTTTTTCTTCTGCATCATTTCAGAAGAAGGTGTAGCTGATGATCTGGAAGATCTGACCTTTTCTGTGGGCTTGCCTTGTCAGGAAAAGTGCCAAGGACCACACTGGGCTGGGTGAGTCTTGTCTGCTTGGAGAGCCAGTTTGCCTCAACATCTGCACTGGAATGTGGGGAGATTCCAGCCATGACACTTGTACAGCCTGTGGCAATTTAGATCCACCCTTAGCAGGGTTGGGAGAAGAGTAAACTAGCCTCTTAAGGCTCCTCCACAGCCTCCCACCCTTCAGAGAACACTCACAGCTCACAGCCAGCTGGTAAAAGCTCCGGCCTGTTTGGTAAAAGCCTGACAATGTGGACAGGCGTCCCCATTCTACCTGCTTTCCAGGCAGAAAAGGCACAACGCATGATGGAGGTGGCTTCACTTCTACAATGGATGCACTCACAGAAAGGAGCCCAGAGGACCACGTGCCTGTCAGACAGTCACTCGATCATGAGAGCTAAGCAGCAAGTAATACCAAACAAAGTAGAATGACCGAAGAACCACAGAGGTAAAAGAAAAAGAAAAATCCCCCCAGACGTGTTCACATGGGCTGTGCACGACGTTCCCTAATGAAGCCACCACACTCTCAGTCAAGAGAGGACTGCACAGGAGTGATGCACAGAAGGGCCACTCAAGCCTGAGAGTGTGAAGGTGGCATTACAAGCCCAGTGGATAAGACACCCAATGGCAAGGGGGCAGGTTAGGAACCGTGATTACAAGCAAGGATGAATGACCTCGCACTCGTCAACCTGGGACAGGATTTGTAGGATCATGGTGAAACTTCGGTGCACAGAGAACGTCTGTATTACTGCACCAACCCCAGCTGCAGTGTTTTTCAGTGCTGCCAGTTCCCATACCGCATGCTAAAACTGAGTTGTCAGAGGAAGAGTAGAGAAGGAATGGGAACCAGAGTGATGCACAGGCTTGCGTGAGGCTCTGAGCCACAGCCCCTCTGACAAACGAGGGCAAGCATCACCCCTCCGGACAGGCCACCAAGGCACGGCTAGGCAGTGTGGTGTCCTCCAGATACTTTGAACTGCAGCTTCCACAGCCCTTGACCTTTGATCCTATTGAATGGGCCTTCTGGAAGTCATACTCCAAAGCATCGGAAAGGTACCAGGTTGCCTATCCCTACCTGAAGGTAGCAACAAGGATGTAAAAAGCCCTCTAAAGTTTTTCTAAAGAGAACATTCACTATATATGGCTTGTATTTTTGCAAAATAACTGGTTGTACCTTCCAATCTCATTCAGCTCAGTGTAGGCAAAATCAAAGTTCTCTTTCCAGCTAACGGTGGCTCCATCTGCTGCAGAGTCTTTGTGCAACCGGAGGGGACAGGAAACAGAGTTGTAATACAAAACATAGTCATGGCGTCACATTGTATTAAAAGGAGATGGCTTGAGAGAGAGAAGCTTAAACGTTACAGGTAGACTAAATACTTGTGTGCTTTCTCCACCAATTGAGTAACCTTTTCCATTTTTGAATGCTTCCACTTTGGCCCAGTGGCTTGTGAGATCATCTTGTTGCGTTAGCAAATAAATATGGAGGATGAGGCAAAATGCCTCATGACAACACTGCTGGGGCGCAGGACTTCAGGTCTTGGCAGTGATGCCAGAAAGGGCCGCTGTGTGCCGCTGAACTGAATGATGCAAGGATAGGACTGGAGTGGGCTGGAAAATAACTCATGCAGCAACTCTGTCGCTGCTAAGCAAGTCTGAGCTTGCTGAGTGCTTGGATGGAAGTTCTTCCTGGGCAGCCTCCAGCTGAATGATGGAAGCAATGTGGGAGAGTAATGCATTAAATAAAATAAATCAGCCATCCTGTTCCATCAAAGAGCCCGCCAATCACTCTGCAGACCAAATAATATCCTTTTACATGTGGGTGTATTGGTGGACTTTCCAAAGGGACTATAAGCACATAATGCAAAGTTTCAGCAGACGGTTGCCTCGTTTCACAGGCACGGAAGGCCCCTAGAACGACGGCACCGCAAGCCATTCTGTGCACTGGCCCAGCTCAGCGTTACAGGGGGGCCCAGCAGCCCTTCCAAGGCTCTGATAACTTGATGACATTCAGCCCAATGCTGTAATTGTATGTCATGTTTCTCTTACACTGCATGGCTGGCTGAACCCTCTGTTCTCAGAATATCTGTGCAGTGCATTTGAAAAATTACCTAGCTTGCTCTAAGTCATGGATGGAATTACTACTTCAGTAATAAAAACAAACGTGGCCTGTAATTTTACAATAATTATATAAGTGGCTGCATTATGCCAGTTCAGACTGGTGAGCCATCTATGCCAGTTTGGTTGACCCTGACTGGGAAAAAGGTTAGCAGGCAGAGGACTATTGAAGGCCTGCTGCCGAGAGCCTTCAAAATGCAAATTACAGAGGTGGAACCCGCAGGCTTCACATGCAACACACCTGATGTAACTATGAGCTGTACCCCTCCTGACTCTGAATTAAATGCATTTGCATGTGTTAGGAAAGAAGTGAGGTGCATTTCCTTGTCTTCAGGGCTCTATTTATAACAACAAAAGGACAAGGGGAAGAAGCTTATTCTCACAGGGTTCTTGGCGGTTGAGGTTGACCTCAAACCTACCAATTTCAACATGTTGCTTCAGCAAACTTTCCCCTCCCGTCATGTGCTCACCATATTCTGGCAGTTTCACAAACTCAGAGGCCTCACTGGGCAAGCTAATTCCCCAGGGATTGCTGGCGCTGACCCGAAACTGATACTGGCAGCCAGGTGTGAGATCTTCAATGACGAGGTAGGTGTCCAAAGTCGAGGCAATGGATTGTTGCCAGATCTGGGAGCCTATGTTTTATGGGGGGGGGGGGGGAGAGAGGGAGAATTGAAATTTAAATGTGACTCAGGGAACACAGGCATCATGTTCGGATGACCTTCCTCACCCCCAAACCATATCTTAGGATCGGGTGGTAATTTGGCTCTGATTGCATGTAAGCATCAAAGAACTTGCCCATTCTTTTAGAAGTTCTGTCTGGTGAGAAAAAACAATAGCCTTTTCATCTTCTTTGGCCTGATTGGAACATGCCATGAAATGAGATGGTAGGCTGACTGCCAGTAAGAAGTGTTAGTTCTTTACATAATGCTTCTTTACATGGAAAGACCTCGCAAGTAGAAAAGCACATGGCAAGAAGAGGACTACCCATTTTTCTAACCTATAGGAAGTGGATTGCTGCAGATCTGCTTCTTCACATGCAGTCTGAAATGGTACAGTCTGTTTATTACACCCTGCCACGAGTGCAGCTGTAGTGGCATAATTCATCAAATAATTACTGTACCTATTCATTTCTCTAAGGACCCTGGAATCATCTGAATAGTTTAAACAAGCAGAAGGATAATTCTAATGACATGTACCACTAAAACATTTTCTAGAATACTTGTTGCACGGATTGCTGAACTGCACTTAAATTTCATGCTGTCTTTATAGATCACTTTAATGAGGTTTCAGAGTTTTATTATTTTCTCTGTAGCCCTCCTAGATGGCTGCTGTGGTTTAACCATGGCTTAGAAATATGTATAAAGAATGGCTAATGCAACTTGTCCTGCTTTGAGTGGCAAGTGGAAAGGGGACAGGGAGAGCAGAAGTCCTGGGTGTGGCTGCCGCTCTGCATCCTCTCAGGATCTCCCAGGACGCATCCAGCCATCTTTGCTGCGACAGCATCATTGGTGATAGCCAGAAGGAAAGCCATCAGAAAAGCCCTGCAGCGCTCATACCTTCTTCTCTGTACTCCACAGTGTAACCTGAAATAGTGCAATTCCCTGTGCTGGACGGAGGCAGCCAGCGTAGAATCACTGAGGTGCAGCTTCTTTCCTGAGCTATAGGGCGATTTGGGGCTGCGGGGACACCTGTGTGTGTGGGGCAAGAGGGGAGCGGAGGGTGGGTGGAAAGAGAGAAAAATGAGGAGAGAATTAGAAGTGTTACTGCTGTTACAGCTTTTCCCATTTCCAAGCACATGAAAGAGAGGCTTTCTACCATCTGGGTTTGCTCAGGGCCACTCGGACATAGCAAATTAGCTGTATTATGTGCAGTGAGAGGAAGCGGGGGTGGGGTGTCCACAAGCTGATCCCTTGCAGGGCTACTAGCATCTGGTGTGCCATTTGAGCCTCATCTGGTGTGTCCAGAGGCTCAATGAGGAGAACGAACTCAAGGGAGGCTGGTGACTCCTCATGTCAGAGGGGCTCCTTATCTGTTCTGGTTTTCCTTTTGAGCTTTATAGAATGTATGCCTGGTGCTCAATGGCAGGGGTGGAGTTCACAGACAATTCAGTATTAAAAGCACTACTCCAATGAGCACAACAGTGATAAGAAAGCGAAACAGCCTTTTGCTGATATGGAGAATGTTTTAGTGGTTTGGACAGAAGATCAAACCAGCCTCAGCATTTCCTTAAGCCAAGGCCTAACTCAGAGCAATGCCCTAACTCTTTTCAATCCCATGAAGGCTGAGAGAGGTTAGGAAGCTACAGAAGAAAAGTATGAAGCTAGCCGTGGTTGGTTCATGAGGTTTAAGGAAAGGGTCTCCATAACATGGTGCAAGGTGAAGCACCAAGCACTTACGCAGCAGTGGCAGCAAGCTATCTGGAAGATCTAGCTAAGGTAAATAATGAAGGTGGCTACAGTAAGCAACAGGCTTTCAGTGTCGATGAAACAGCCTTGTATTTGGAGAAGAGGCCATTTAGGACTTTCATAGCTAGAGAGGAGAAGTCAATGCCAGTCTTTAAAGCTTCAGAGGACAAGCTGACCCTCTCGTTAGGGGCTAATGCAGCTGATGACTTTAAATTGAAGCCAATACTTGTTCACCACCCCAAAAATCCTAGGTCCTTAAGAATTATGCTAAAACTACTCTGCCTGTGCTCTATAAATGGAACGACAAAGCCTGGATGACAGCACAGCTGTTTATGGCATGGTTTACCGAATATTTTAAGCCCACGGTTGAGACCACTTCAGAAAAGAAGATTCCTTTCAAAATCTTGCTGCTCATTGACAGTGCACCTGGTCACTCGAGCTCGGCTGGAGATGTACAATGAAATTAATGCTGTTTTCATGCCTGCTAACACAACATCCGTTCTGCGGCCCATGGATCAAGGAGGAATTTTTGACCATCAAGTCTTAATAGTTAAGAAATGCCTTTTGTAAGGCTATAGTTGCCATAGACAGTGATTTCTTTGATGGATCTGGGCAAAGGAAATTGAAAACCACCTGGAAAGGATTCACCATTCTAGATGCCATTTGTGGTTCATGGAAAGAGGTCAAAATATCAACATTAACATGAGTTTGGAAAAAGTTGATTTCAGCCCTCATGGACGACTGAGGAGTTCAAGACTTCAGTTGGAGGAAGTAATTGGAGATATGGTGGAAATAATGGATGAGCAGCTGCTTCCTATGGATGAGCAAAGAAAGTGGTTCCTTGAGATGGAATCTATTCCTGGTGAAGATGTTGTGAAGATTGTTGAAATGACAACAAAGGACTGAGAATATTAGATAAGCTTAGTTTGTAAAGTAATAGCATGGTTTGAGAGGATTGACTCCAATTTTGAAAGAAGTTCTATTGTGGATAAAATGCTATCAAACAGCATCAGATGCTACAGAGAAATCTTTCATGAAAGGAAGAGTGAATCAGTGTGGCAAATTTATTTTTTGTCTAATTTTAAGAAATTGCCAAAGCCACCCCAGCTTTCAGCAACCACCACCCTGATCAGTCAAGAGCCATCAACATCAAGACAAGATCCTCCACCAGCGAAAAGATTTTGACAGATGATTATTAGCATTTCTTTAGCAATAAAATATTTTAAATTAAGGTATGTAGTTTTTATAGATATAATGCTATTGTATACTTAATAGATCACAGTATAGTATAAACATAACATTTATATTCACTGGGAAACCAAAATAATTTGCGTGACTCTATTTATTGCAATATCTACTTTATTGCTGTGGTCTGGAACTAAACCTACAATTTCTGTGAGGAAAATTGGAGCTTTGACATGAAAACCTTTGTAAATCATGCATCTTGTCTTACAGTCGAAGTCTAAGCCAGGGAGCAAGCCAGTACCTTGCACTTTGATTGTAGCCGAAGTGGATGCTGTCCCGAGTTCATTTGTTGCCACGCAAGTGTAGATCCCGCTGTCTTGAGGCATCACATTACAGATCTTCAGGGTGACTTCTCCTGACTCGCTAGAGAGTGGGAAGAACAATACTGTAATCTGAATATCTGCTATGCATTTTCCCTGGCTTCTTTTCCAGTCGTAAACAGAAAATAAAAAGCGGTGAAAAAGCAGACATGAGCTGCCCTTGTACTCAATGTTCTGAGTCCTGGTTGCTTACAAGGAGAGGAAGACATCCATCTTGGATGCGAACATCCATCTTGGATGCCATGTTGCAGATGGATGCTAACCTGACTAATGCTGCTGATGCTCTTATGAATGGGACTGTTGTGCACCTTCCAGGTAGCCCGCTATTTATTAGGTATCCTTGCTAGAGATACCCAATAAGTCTCTATTCAGAAGTGAACCAACATGATTTGCACCTCCTGAACTAAAGCACAGTGCAGAACACAAGCATTTTCTGATCTTATACTTCTCCAAATTTTGTGATACAGTTAAAAAAACCCAAAATGCATGTACAAGTGTATTTACCAAAATGTATATTAAAATGCATATCTTATAATAAACAATGTGTAACCTGTGACCAAATTTTTGTGCAGATTTCCCACCTCCCAGACTCCTGTGAAAATGGGCTAGAAGCAACTTTTGAAGGAACATATGGTCATTTGGCCTGGATGGGAAATGGTCTGCCTGGTCCATCTCTAGCACCATCCCTGTGGCCTCCTGCTTCTTTCTAATGCTGGGGTGATTCCCAGCAGGCTTCATGGTGCTGGCCATGCTTGTCCTTCTTGGACCGAGCATGAACCAACCTTTCTTAACCTGGTGCCCTCTAGATGTTTTAGACTACAGCTCCCAGAATTCCTAACTAGTGACCATGTTGGCTGTGGCTGATGGAAATTGAAATCCAAAGAATCTGGAGGGCACTAGGTTGGGGAAGGCTGGCACAAATGCTTCAGAGTGATGCCGTGCCAAGAGCATCCAACTTAAGGTGAACAGGGATGTCCCACAGGGAACACCAACAGTTCTCTTTGAGCAGCCAAGGGGCGTTCCCGGGATTACTTCCCTTGATTTGCTTTTAGGAAAGACTTGCAGCCATGCATTTGAAGATGCATGGAGATGCAAAATGGGGACTGCAAGGAACAATACTGTGATGGACTTGTTTGTACCTTGTGGCAGGTTTTCCGAGTATGTTGAGGACATAATCCCTTAGATCCATTCTGATTTTGACTCCTCTTTGAATATAGTAGCAATCTCTAAAGTGTCCCTGGACCATCTTATCAGATAGGTGCAATTGCTTAGATCATTCCAGTTATTTCTTCCTGACGCTGCAGCAAGGTTTTGATGAAAGGTTGGGCCTATCACATGTGTTCTGGATTGCTTCCCCTTATGGGTTGTTATATCTAGCCGAACAGGACTCTGGCCCATGCAATCAGGGAGCTGATTAAAGTTTAATCATTAAACTCTCCCATATACAGGGATTACTTCCCTGCTCTCCTAAAGAAAGCGTCTCCTTAAGTATAGATCATTTCCAGTTTGTTCTTTTGGACAAGGTAAAAAAGCAGGTGTGACCCTGTTAATTCTTCTGGATCTTTGAAAGGATGGTGGTACCACTGGTCATGTTGACTTTCTGTACTGATTATCCAGTTGTGCTTTGGGAAGCTGCATTATGGTCATTTTGCTCACAGGGGAACAGGTTCCAAAAACAGGTCCTGGGGCTTAAACTTTTTAAGATCTAAATGCCTGTTTAAGAGTTCCTTGTTAGATACACTCAATCTTGGGAGGCAGCATAGGCGGTGGCACCACAACATCACTTGCCTAGCCCTGGAATGTGAGTTCCAGAGTGATCACCCTGCTCATTCTTTTCTGAGCTTCCAAAAATTTGACCAAATCTTTTTAAAACAAGGCTTTAAAAACAGAAACAGAAACAAAACACACACGTAGCAGCATTCAGTCTGGCAATCTTGCCCACATTCCAGTTTACTCATTTAGGGGGTGTTGGGGCACTGAAGAATGAGACCAGCTGGCAGTTTTGGTGTCTTGAACTAGATCACCTGATGTGTTTGCTCAAAGAGACCCAACGACGACCCTCAGCAGCTTCTGAAACACTTTATCGGACAGAAATGACTCCTTTGGTAGCATCACAGTGTGGAAGTGCAGAGGAACGTACCAGTAAGCAATAGTATACACGGGCGTGCTGCTGTCGTTGTCAATGATGTTTTGATCAGGTCCTTTCCAGGTTAGGGTTGGCTTTGGCCGCCCACAGACTTTGCACTGTAGCACAACAGTATCACCAAGCAGGCACGTTATGTCCACCAACGGCACGAGAAACTCTGGAGCAACTGGAGCACAGGCCACAGAGAATGAGACACCACATTTACCAAGGACGGAAGGCTTCACGCTGAGGGTACCAGCTGTGCTGCAAGATGCCTGTGCTGCACCTACCACACTGCGCTTAGGAAGGGGGGGTATGAAAGTAACCCCTGATACCTCCTGTCAAGCGGTAACATCAGACTCCTTTGCAGAAGCACATGATCTGCACTCAGGTTATTTGGGAAACTGAACCTACCTGGGCAAGTCTGATGGTTGCTGACAAAATGCTTGAAAATGTCTCCATAGCTTTCCCTTTTGATATTATTTTTATTATTTATTCGTATCTATATTTTATAATCTCTTGGGGGACCTCTTCCTGTTGAAATAGTATTCAAATTATGTGAAAACCTGAATTATAGAATGCTGAGGAGGCAGGTGCAAATAGGCTTGACTTGTATAATGTCATCTGACAAATTTAAGTTTCTTTCTTGTACAACGGGGATCCCCCAACCAACAGCCCATGATAAATAAAATACATTAGCTTGTATTATATTTTGAGACCAACAGAGAAACAGAGACTACCATGAAGGAGCAGGAAGCTCTGCCTTTCAGAGCTACTGGGTTAAGGTCCTTCACAGTGACAAAATTTCAGCAAGAACCCTCTTCCTACGATTTGACCTTGCAAAGATAGAAATGAAATATGCAGCTCTTTCATCCCACTTGTGAGGGAAGTTCTCAGAAAGGGGGAAGAGAGAAGACAACAGTGAACTTGTGGAAGTGGGGATAGTCACAGAGTGGAGGTCTGGTAGTTCTCACAGAGGTTACAATGAGGAGATCCTCACTATCAGCCACTCCAGGGAAAAAGTGCATGTACATATATTGTTCGTACTACACATCCATCAAATTTCACTAAGCATGTATGCTGTATTTTATGCTGCATGTTTGAATTATGATTGCCCTGACTGGATATTACCAATTTGTGTAATCATAATGTGTATAATTGACATTTGTGAATTTGAATGTCAGCATTCAGGAGTGTCCATTTAGTATTTTATTCATGGTCTGTGAATTTGATATTTTATGTATGCACTCATACATATTAATTGAAAGTTCCCTAAGAGATTACTAATAGTTGATGTACAATATTTTAGAGCCAATTGCTGAGAGCAGTGGCTTTCAAATCTTCTACAGTGAGCAGATGGGTGTCATGGGGGAAGCCCTGAGTCACCCTGCAACTTCGGTGCCTTGCGAAGAGCCAGGAGACATATTCTGAAGCAACTGTGCAGTTACAGCAGCAGCCAGCCATGCCTGTTGAGGCTCAAGCACCATGCATGAAGAGTCGGTCCTACATGAGGTTTGGAGCATGGCAGGGAAAATGGGTACCGATGTGCAAAGGGTGCTTCAGCGAGAGAACATAAAACCCGAGGGGGGGACTGGAAGAAAGGCTTCCCAGAAAACAGTCTGAAAACCACCAAGTTAGAGTGATTACAGTCAAATTCATTTTGTTGAAAATAAAGCAAAAGCAACTTAAACTTGAACAAGCCAAATTGAAAAGAGAAGAAAATGACTCTGATTCAAAATTAACTCCAAAGTAATGTTTACCATTTGTGGACAAACACAATTGCTCATGCATCTTCCTCTGCCCTCATTTTATCAGATCACATCTGAGTGTGGCTCCAAATTGGCTCAGCATCAGATTCCTTGGGGTCGCAGTCTGTATGTAGTTGGCATCATGCATGCCCTTCCTAGCTGATTACACAGGCAAAATTCCCCAGGAGCAGTTTGGCCACATGTAATTAAACCCTGTTTTGTTTTCTGTGTGATGGGAACCACCTCACACTTACCTTCCTGGATGAAGTTTGGGTTGATGATCTGAAAATATATATATACAAAAGAAATAGAATTCTTGTTTAATTACTCAATGAAAGGAGGAATTAAGTTCAACAAAGTATAAGAAACTTGATCTAAGGATTTTAGGAACTAAAGGTACATTCTAAGTTAGAGCAGGTCTCCAGGACTTATTTCCACATTCCGGATGTGCAGGGTACTCCAGCCCATGAGGACTGTCAAGAGGATTATTGGGACAAAACGTGAGTCGACCTGCACACACATCCCAGGGCAAGGTCCACTGGTGACTATATGAGTGACAGCCTTACTTCCATGTGCTCACCACAATCTTCTCCGTCCACAAGTCCACCAAGCAGCAGGCTGCTTCTTGAGCAATCGGCATGACTGGCAGGAAAATGCCCAGTTCACAGAGTTAATCTTAGCACATACACATTTAGCATTGGGTGGCCCTGAGAAACGGAAGGATTGCCCTGCTGAATTGTCCTGTCCAAGAGCCAAGAGCTGAGTAGTCATTCTGGAGCAGCAGCCAGCAAGGTGCCTGAGGTGATCAGGAACACGGTGAGAAGCGGATGGCGTCTTTCTGACCATAGAATTCTGCTTTGAACCACAGGGCCAAGAGCCTCTGTGAACTTGCCCAAACCCTTTCAAAACCCCCTTGGACCATGGCAATGAAGGCATATTCTCATATAGCACCATCAGCAGGTCTGGAGCTTTAGGAAGACATTCCAAAAGTTGAGAGGCACTGCATGAAAAAGGCGCTGCCTTTCTTGAGGACATTTTCCCCACTTCAGGTTGAGAGCTGCCCAACGAGCAGCAGGAGCAGAGGCCATAATGGATGCGAGACTAGGCTGCCCAGAAGTCCAGCCCTACTCGTTAGGGTAGTACACACAATTATTAGGACCTGATGACTTACAGGCAAAAACTAGCACTTCAGGAATGGGATGAAAAGGTTTGAGCATTAGTCATGTGATTTGGATACTTCGGTAGCTAGCATTAAATGAACTAACCATTGAATGAAAAACGTGTTTGCAGCAATGACCCTTGGCCCTCTAGTTGTGTGGATAGGAAACCACTGGGGGAACCAGCCTAGCCTGTGGACTTCCTTGAGTGCTGGCTCCAAGCAAGTGCACCTTCCCAACAGTGGACGCCCAGCTGCTTGGTCTGGGGGTGCTAATGCCTCAGTCCTTCTATCCAAGGCACGGCATTCATGCTTAATAAAATCGACAGTGGAATACTGCACAGAGCGCCCACCTCCAAGCACGTTGCGTTGCTCTTGATGAAGATTCATACCCTCCCCTTCCAGTGTAATCAAAATGGCCATGACTGCTTGCGGGGGACAGACAAGGAATTCTTGACAGATAATGGTTCATTAAGCCCACAGACCAAGCCCACTTGGGCACAGCACTCGACCTAGACAGGGTTCCCCTGCCCTTGTGCCCTCCAGCTATGCTAAACTTAGAGGTGGTGGCAATGAAACTTGAGTGCAGGTTTCTGGCAAGAGCAAATTTGGGCCGCAATCTTACACACACTTACCTGGGAGTTAAATTGGTGTTGCTGTCATTATTGTTTTTGCACATGTCTCAATGTGCATTTAAGCCCTAGCATACTGATGACAGGCTTGTTTCTGTAAATGGAGTAACACCTCGCTTGGACAGTAGAGGGCAGCTCTGTACCAAATTCGCAGATCAATGTTAAACCACTTTGCAGTTACTCAGACCCAAAAATATTTCGTTGGATAATGATACTAGTTTTCCCAGGAAGTCCAGTCAGCGCTTTTCTGCTTTGTTGTCAGGGTATGATTGCTGAAGGAAGTACAGGTGGCACTTCAGGGACTTAATATTTACCACAGGAGTTTGAGGCACTTCTGCAAGCTTTCTCCAATTCAAATTTTGGTGATGGGGTGCTACAATGATTATACTGTAGTTGTCTAGTAGCTATTAAAAATTTGGAGCATTTCTCAGGATAAATTAGCAGCCCTAACCACTCTGCACTGTGTTTCCATATGGCCATGCAAACAAACTGAATTGATACCCCTCTGCAGTTAGAAAAGTGCAATGTATCATAGTAGACGACAATTTCTGATTTAAGGCAGTGAGGCTAAGCTGTAAATCTTACACATACTTTTGGTAACATTCTTCAGAAGCAGCATATAGCCCAAAGCACACAGAAACCTTAACTCTCTGGGGGTTACACATTTAACAGCTCGCCCGCATCGCTGTTTAGTGCCGTCGCTGTCCCTTAGGGCTATGTCATATCAACTCTTCAGGCTGAAGCACGCAAACATCAAAATGGAAAGAGGTTTATTATTTCCTGCTACAGCAAGTCCTACAGGTTTCAGAGGAATGCATTGGTATTAGTAAACTTAGTATTTCAGGCCATTAAGGCAGCACCCTTTAAATCGAACTTTTAAATGCTGCAAAAAAGAAGGCTGCTTCAAGGAACCAGAATGCATTATGCATTTCATTATTCTGCCAAAGTCAGAAGCTCCAACTGGAAGTTTGCATGAAGAAAATGGGAAGGAGGGAGAGGCACCTGTGCAGACACACACTGTAGGGTAAGACAGCAAAATGGGCTGAACCACCGTGGAAGTAGCTCGAGCGAAGTGCTGGCCCTCTTTCAGCCCAGGGGCCCAATTCCACCTCAAAGAAGCTCCCAGGCTACATTCCATTGGGAGATGAGGCCAAAGTCAAAAGGGATCAGGCCAAGAATAGCAGCCTATTTTAGCTTAAAGGTCTTATTGTTAAATATTGAAAGCGTAGGAGAGGAATGTCAGACCTGTAGATTGGAAAACAAACTGTACAGAAGCCAGGAAACCACCAAATGTTCAACAGTCGGGGAAAGGGGGAATAGCACTTGGGGAAGGCCAGATGGAATGCAGGATCTGGCCCAGGCTGGAATCTCGGCATCCACGAGGAGGACACATGCTCCCTGTGGCAGCTAAGAAACTTTCCCGCAGCTAGAAAATGGGGTCATCCGGAAAAGAGTGAGGGTAGATCCTGTCCTCACTGTGCTAGTGACTAGCAGCTAGTCGTTGATTTGGCAGGGAAAGGTGTTCTGCTTTGACCCAGGGAAGCCAAATCATACAGGGGTGGTATCTCCCACCTGGCTGAAACAACTCTGTAGTAATTCTACTGTCTCCTTTGGTAGCACATGTAGACCAGCATGAGCTTAATTACACCTTTGGTTATTGATCTGTTAAAGTAGGCCGAACACCGCCACTTTTATTTGGAAGGAAAATCAGGGTCCTGTGCCAGTTTCCTGCCCAAATCACTCCCAAGTGTTATTTGTCATGCAGATTGCAGCTTACCCCGAAGTGCTCCTTCGGGGCCAATAGCAGCTGATGGAGTACTTCAAGGTTAAGAAACCAGCACAGAGCTCGAATCCGGATTGGGAGATGTCCTTACAAGCTGCTTCAGTACCTAGAATTCCAGTCGGAGCAAGTTCTAGCACGCACCTACCCGTCCTGGCCATGCATCAGGGTTAGGCACTAGCAGGGAGAAGCTCGGCAGCACTTGGGCAGGACCTTGGTGGCAACTAGAAGACTCCCTTAGAACTGACGGCACCTTCCCTCCAACTCATTCCTTCCTGCTCTCTTCCTCACAGGAGCCTTCTCTGATGTAAATTTGGCAACACATACTGTGTAGCGCGTTGGCCATCGATGAACCAGAACTGGAACGATGGTGAAGCAAGCTGCACTAAGAGGGACATGTGCAGACATTCCTCCTGCCAACAGATGTTAGTACTCCAGCTTCAGCGGGCTATGGCTGGGATGGAGGCAGGATCAAGGCCCCCCTGCCTTTAATGGACCAGATCCATTAGCATGGTAGAGAGAGCCCTGGCTTCAGCACTGCTGGAACGTTAGCAATCAACTGTAAGCCACCCCGAGGCTTAAGCGAAGGGGGCAGCATATAAGCTGTCCGTCCGTCCGTCTGTCCAACTAACTGTGTGGTGGGAGCAAAGTTACTCTTTCTACACTTAGTGCAATGACAGGATTGCCTGCATTCATCCAGATCCCTCATGGGGACTTTCCATAATATCTAGGCAGTAAAATGGCAAGTTGGTTCTTTGTAGCAATTCGCCAAGCAAGGCAAATTTCCACAGAATTCTGATTTTGGGCAGAGGAGGAAGAGAATTCACCTCAGCACTGTGCAGGGTGGTGTGCATGCCAGTTCACCACGAGAACCTGTTGCGGCCTGGAAAACAGTTTCTGTATGCATTCCCCGCCCTGCCTGGCCCCCTGCTTAATGCAAATCTTTCATGTCCAGCAAAGGGCATCTATTCAGGTTTAGCAAGGGAAGTGCTGTGAGCAAGCTATTTCGCCTGGCCTCCACACAAAGATGTAGGGACTGGAGCATCCTTCCTTGGAGCCAACCAGGAGGTGCCTGATAGCCAGCCAGCAGTCCTGTGCCCCTTTCCCGAGGTGGTGGTGTGAGGGGAAGAGTGGAGAAAGGCTGTGGCCTTGTGCTAATCCTCAAAGCAGGAAGGCTGCAGAGGGATGGGATCTGGGCAGATCCCAAGAGGTGGTCCTGGCTCAGAAGGTGGTCCTGAGTGCAAGGCGGAAAGTTACTGAGCAAGGTAGGGGCATCTTGTGGACATTTAAACATTTAAACAGTGCTAGGACCCTTTGAGGAGCCAACAATGCACTTCTGGGACAAGACAGGGAGCAGAAAGCAAACATCTGCTACAATAAAGCCACCCTTGTCGAGAGGTGAACTGTGAGTGGCCATCACCAGGATACAGCAGCCTGCTTTTTTGCAAGGTGATGTAGCAAATATGTGGGGAAGCACTTTGTGGAACAGCAGAGTTGGGTGGCCAGAGGGCCATCGGTGCCAAGCTCCTGCTCAATGTAGGACTCCCAAGTTCAAGCATCCCTCTCAGATGGCTGTCCAGTTGCATCCTGAACGCCCCGCGTGTGGCAGAGCCCACGACCTCCCTGGGCAAAATAGCAGAGGACGCACTGCTGCTGGGCCAGGAGAATGCAGCGCTTGCTGCAAGTCTTGGCCTAACGCCTTGTGCTTGAGTCATTAATGCATTTCATCTTCTTCCAGGCTCTTTCCCTTGGTCCATCGTTCTCACATTCATGTAAACAAAGAACGGGGCCAACAATAGCAACACTGGATATTCCAATAAAACGATTTGAAAATAAACTGCAGCCAGAAGGCACAGTGAGTACTGTGATCAGAGCACAGTTGCTTAGCCAAAATCAAATACAGTAAGGAAATGGGGAGGTAGGAATTTACCTCCTTGTTGTGTATCAGATTTGCCTTTGCAAGAGGTTATTTCTCTGCAAGAAGTTTATTTTGCTAAAACGTGTTGTGCTTTTATTACGCACTAAATGTACCCTAGAAATGCACATCAGTTGTTCCAAATAAGGAGACTTATGGACAGCTGCTAATATTACTCAAAATGTAATTTCTCACAGATAATTACTAGGCATGTATTTATATAATAGAAACCTATGATGGTTTCCAAGCTTTCCGACCAGCAGGATCCATAGTTGAACAAATACGGGAATAGCTACTAGGAACACCGTGGACGGTGGAGTGAACCAGGGATGGCGCCCGTCCAAGGCACATTCCTGCAAAGAGCTGATCAGGACCGGCTCCAGCCATTGCCCAGAGAGCAACAGTTCCCCAGCGTGTATAATTGCCTACAGGAGACCGCAGCGAGTCTCAAGGGTCCCAACTTGATGATTCTACCACCGCGAAATGTGCATGGGCCTGCCCATGGTTCAGTGGAAAGTTTCATAAGGAGACTTTGATAATTCTCCCTTTTAACTTGATTGGGTTTTGGAATAATAGATGGGTGCTTGTTACTCTTTTTTTTGTCGGCAGTTGTATTTCCCCAGCACAGTCCTGGGTGCTAGTGAATATTGTCTGTGAAAGATCCTGACCTACTATTGGTCTCCTTCGTATGAATAAATTATTTAGGACACTCTGGCTCCCGAAAGCAACTACTTCCAGTTGGGGGCTACATATAAAATAGCACGAGGCATCATGCATAGTTGCTTGTTAGCACAGAATAGAGGTTTCTGTGTTTAGATTATTTTCATAAAAAGTGCAACTTCCTGTAAATTCCGCACTAGCCAAAGACAATTTGGCACCTCAAGCGTAAAGCACCAATGACAGCAAAAAGGCAGGGTTACGTCAAATTAAGCCAGTGTTCATCTGAGCGCCCAGGATCTGCTGGCAAAGCCTAATCTACTGTTAGGCTGTCATCTCCATTTGCCTAACAGTAGAGATCGCTCCGAGTACAGACAGAGTTTTACAGAAACTATTTAAAAACAGGCACACAATCAGCTGGGGAAAGTAGCATTGGGTTGCAGTATGGAGAGGGGAGAAAGGGTCAGCGTCTACCTCCATGCTAGTGTTGGGGTCAAGGTCATCGCATTCTGACTCCTCTGAACTGTTTGTCTCCTTTTTGGCAGCATGGAGAAAAGAGAACAGAGTTACAATCAGATTAAAGGCACAAAACAGCAAAGCGGTTGAGTGCAAGGCAGAAATGCACGCTGGCAACTAAAATGCTTCTAACAGAAAGCCACCAGGAGGCAAGCGAAAGACTTTTGGCAGAAACAAAAAGGGTTGCAGTCTCAAAATTAAGACTAAAATCAAATGCATTGATGGAAGCAGCAGGATGGAGTGCTACCTCTGCTTTACCAGCTCCCCAGTTTGGCAAGGCCCTTTGAGCCCACACAGCAATATCATGCCCAAAGAGAATCTGCCCACTCCGCTGCAGTCGGCAGCTCCAGCCCGCTCCCACTCCCTCCCTCCCTCCCTCCCTCCCTCCAGAAGGAGAATTTCAGCAGAGTCGAGAGTCCAGCGCTGCACTCAGTCTCCTTGGGGTGCAGTATTTTAGAATTTCAGCTCTTCCACACTCCAGCATACAGACTCATGCACGACCCAGTTCAAAATGCCAAACAGCTTGAATATAAATGAAATTTGAGGTGTGCAAATGCAGAATGCTGAGTGAGCACCCACCTTAACAATCCCAAGGGCATTTCTTGGGTTCTGGCATTGGCACTCCTTGGCCCCAATTCAGAGAAGCATGGAAGCAGAGCAGAAGGTAGCACACTCGCCATGGCATTCCAGGACACCCTTCCACCACTCACTGGGCCAGTCCTGCCAAGACGGACCGCCTTGGGGGACTGTGGGGCGGATGCACACCCCACGCAGGTGCAGTTCAGCACGACCCCCCCCCCCCCGGGAGGTGGAGGATTGCCAGTGTGCACACATGCGCGGCGACTCTGTAGGTGACCTCCAGGCGCTGGGTAGGGGGTTACATGACCTGTGTATTTGCTTGGTTACGTTATCTGTATCCTGCCTTTTCCTCCAGGGAGTGCGAGGTGACACGCACGGTCCCTTTGCATCACGCTGCAGGGCTGCTCTGCGAGCGGAAGCGTGTGGATCGCTGGGGCTTGCGCTACAGGGCTTGCTTGAGTGTGGGCGTGGGAAGCAGAGGAGCGATGCACTGCAGCTCTTGATTGAAAAATAATGGCTTGGTTAGGACAGGGTGGGAGGCATGTTTGCATTGACACTGGTGATCAGACAGCGAGAGCCAAGAAAACGTCTCTAAAAAGAGGAACAACAGAATCTTGGTGCACCTTAGACTCTATAATAATGCCATTCGATTTCACGGATTACAGTCTACTTCATCAGATGCGCCAAGTGGACATGGGACATAAGTGGAACACAGAGGAAAATGGAATGAGGAAAGCGTGCTTTCTATACCATTAATAGGGCTTTCCAAATATGTGTTATCTTTGCTATAAAAGACTGACATAGCCTCCTCCTGGACATTGTAAGCAAGTAGAAAACTGGTTAAGCAGTTGAGTTGGGGCATTGTAGGATTCTTTCCTATTGAAACATGCATAAGACTGTGCCCCAAAGAATTTTATCTTGAGATGATAGGATAAAGAAAACTAATTATACTGTATAGTATAATTATTATTATTATTAATAATAATAATAAATAATAATATAGGAATGGGAATAAAAATATGTATAGTGTGTTTAGTCACAGCTGCTTTAAGCAGCTACAGATTATGATCACTAGGTGCTCCCAGAAAAATAAATGCTACACTTAAGCAGAATTCTCTTAATAGTTACATTTAAAATTGCAAAGCAATTTTAGTGCTTGTTTTCCCAGAATTAAGTTTTTAAAAATCCATTAGAAGCCAACCAACTAGTAAGTGACCCAGTCTCTGGGAACAGGTATATTAATATTTTTCATTATAATATTTCTGTACCAGGCAAGTATCAAAAGTAATCTGTGATCTTAAAAGCCATATAGCTGTATCAAAATCTTTTATCATAGCCAGCAATAACATTGATGGTACAAAATATGTATTTTTAAAATAAAGAGGTTAAGGGTGCAATCCTATCTATACTTAGAGGTGAAAAATGTTCTAAAATTCGCAGCATTTCTCAGCCAAGAATTAGACTTTTTCCTTTATAAACATGCATGGAACTGCTTCCTAAAAGGAATAAAACCTTGTAGCTACATTTTTTTTCCCCTTTAGATAGGAGTACCTCTTTAATTTTGTGCTCTTGGACACTGCAAATGAGAATACAAAGAAAAAGATGAACAGAGTGAACTACATAATATCTTTTGAGATGTACAATTTTTAAATTAGTATTTCAAAGAAATATAAATGAAGAACTAAGCACACTTTTCCAGAATGCATCCTCTGCAAAAGAATGAGCATGGTATTACAATACGGAGTTGAATACATAGTTCTACTTTTATATTTTGTATTATGGGCAGTGCATTCCAACGTACGTAGCTGTCCCTAAGCCTCCAAACTGGCAGACTGCAGGCATCCTACAGACGGCACAGGAAGTGCTTCTCCCACCCCACAGAGCACTTCAGCCGCCAATTTTTACTGCTCACGAGGAGGCCGAGGATGCCACAGGGCACCTTAAATCCAGCAGAGGCTCCCTCTGCCCTCCCCTGCCCTAGGAAGGCTAGTAGCCTGTGATAGCCGCCTCCCTCATGGATCTGTCCACACTCCTTTTAAAGCCATCCAAGTTGGTGGCCATCGCCACTTCCCATGGCAGCAAGTTCCATAGTTTAACTATACGTTTGAAAAAGTACTTCCTGTTCTCTGTCCTAAACCTCCCACCAGTCAGTCTCATGGGATGACTCTGGGTTCGAGTGTTATGGGAGAGGGTGAAAAATGTCTTCCGCTACCCCTTCACCTCACCATAAATCCTAAACAGGGATATCATGTATTACATCAGGAATGTGGTTTAAGATCACGACTCCTATGCAGTACAGAAATATTATAGTGAAGAATGTTAATGATGTATTATATTTCACAGTTAAAAATAGGTCCTCCTTTACATCGTTTTACATTTTGTAAGTACAGAGTTCCACAGTGAAGCAAGGCATCTTTGCTGGGCCCTTACACTTGCCGCTTCTCTAGTTGTTACGCTGCCCAGGTGGTGAGGAAAACACCACTCTGCCTTCACTAGTTGCACAGGTGCAGCTGTCCAGGCAGTGAAGGAAGCTGCCTCCTACCCAACTATGGAAGGTATAGGAGTTTTATTTTCCTTTACAGCAAGTAGGGTGAGTGAGCAGAGGTAAGAAAAGACATACGGAAACCGGCATTGCCATATAAAGCTCACACACATGGATGGACAAAGAACAAACGGTGAACCGCTTCCGCTGCAAGAACGTGCGCACAGCGCTTGCACAGGCAACGTGCCGGTTGATTCCGCTCACCCTGCCTGCCCCACGGCCCTCAACAAAGGCTCTTCTGTATAGACCTCGATATAGGCAAGCAGCAGCATTCCCTGTCAGTGCACGGCCGCTACGGAGTATCTGTTTACCTAGCCTGGCAGACAGGTAACAGGCAATTGAACTGCAATCTCACGGTGTGCTACTTCTAAAAAGCTACTGTGGCTCATTCCAGTGGTTCCTTGCCTGGCCCCCCTTTGTCTTCTCCTCTGCACCATGAAACGGCCCTGACATCAGGGCCAGTAGTTGACTACTATGGTAGTCAGGCACTAATTCAAGGATTAGCAAAGCATGTACTAGGAATACTCACAGGGTCCGTCAACCGAGGTCATCGTTAAGGTTAGTGTAGCTAGTCATCCCATGTAATACTGTGCACCCGGAATAGCTAAAAGACCAGGCTGCCTTGTCACATGTCAGGGTGGTTGGGGGCAGCCCTCTTGGTCCCATGCTATAACGGTAGTTAAGGTGAATGAGGTGGATGTTCATTCTTTTAACATTTTCAGCCTGCATGAGATAGTTTGTTGGTGACCTTGAGTAAGAAATAATCCTTGCAGAGAAGCTTCCAGCCTGTGTACCAAGCCAGGATTGAAAAGTTCCATGAACCTACCTACAGTAAGTTCTGAAATGATTTGTTGTACATACTGAATGTTTGGTCACTTTGTTGTTAACACATTTGCTTTTAAGATTTGGGTAGAAAAGAAGGAAAAGCTATGGTTTTGTGGGATTTTTCCCAACAGATCTCATTATAGTGTTAAAAAATGTACACCCTGCCCAAAGGTGTCAAATTAATATACTCATTTATTGGACACATACAAAGCTCCTATTTGATCATGTCTAATAATTTTGATGTTTCTATATTTTAAAAGCTGAACATGAGGTTCTATGTCTAATTGTATGGGGGTTATTAAAATCATGTTGTATGGGAAATTTTATCTCATCAGGAGACTTATGACTCTTCTCCCTTGGCCAGGAATAATACCTACTAGGAAAAAGCCACCAAATTGGGTTGAGCCCAAATGCTCAGCCATAGACTCACTGGATGCTCCTGGGCAAGCTAGTCTGTTACAACATTCCAGCTCTAAGAACAGGATCAATGCTCTACTTCTTATGGTGGTTTTGAGGTTTACCAGATGAAAAGCTTAAAGTTCTGGTTTCAATCAGAGAGTTTAATTGAAACAGATGGCACTCAAGGGAGTGACATCTCCATCAATCTCCCCACCCACTTTCCCCCCAACCAAATGGCCCATTCAATGGGGTACACCATGAAAAAGGAACGGAGGGGTTGGATTCAACTCATCTCTTTTTTTGAAGGGGCCTGGTAACTGGAAGCTATTTGACATGTTCCTATATAGGAAACACAATTCTAGGAGAGGGTCCCAGGAAGTACCAGAGTAGTGAAAACTGCACTGTAAGTGTGGACTCCTAAAACAAGAGATGGGTAGGCAGGAATAAGATGCAAATTTTCTTCCTCACCCCCAACTCCTTCAAAAATGAAGAAAGCATAGGTTGTGATATTCTGTGTTTTAGTTCAGTTACATCACATGAAACCCTCTCTCTGACATGGCTTCTTTGGGCCTTGTGGTTCTGTGAGGGACATGAGAATTAAGTCAGTATTTTTAAAACGCAAAACATCATTAAACTTGTAGTATAGCTATAGATGGAGAAGGACAAAGTAGCCCCAGTAATTATTTGACCAACAATTCTGATTTTATGAACAGGCTGCTTGTGCTACGTTGCCTCAGAATATATTCTCAAGGCACACTGCTATTCATGGAAACTTTTGTCAGAGATCACCTGTGGTCCATCAATAGTTGGAAAGTGGCTAAGGTTTTTTCTTGTTTAGAAGGTGTGCTTGTTGCATTCAAAGGAAAGTTTTGTCCACCTCTGGGTAGATTTTAACAGCACATACATTTGGGATGTAGTGTTAAACGTCACACACACTCACACATGCACACTGTTTACTTACAGTCTGGATGCCCAGTGGTGAGGAGGGAAAAACTGTGTTGTATCTTGCATGCAAAGTTCAGCCAAAATGGCTACGACTACCAAAAAGTAAAACAAATTAAAAATAAAGCCAAAGGGGGAAAAATAAAAGTAAAAGCCAGATGTCACCCCCTGTCCTTAGAAAGGATGTTGCAGGGGGAGTGAGGATGAGAAGCAGGAGGCAGCCCATGGCTTCTGATGGCCTTACTCACTTTAACAGAGACTTTGTTGCCCAGAATATCCTTGGATTTACGTAGGCCATTGGCTTCAGTTTTGCCACTGCTTTCCTTTTCCGCCCGCTTTCTCATGCGCAGGGTATGCCATGAACATGACTTCCTGTTGTACCAAAAGAGGCACTAATCAAATGGCATATCTTAGTAGGAAGAGGAAGGGATGTGGAGAGGCAATCAGCACATATGTTCTTGGTAACTGCAGCTTTCTTAAGGAGGTGGAAGCAACCTGCAATAGCCCTGCTTAGGTACAAACATTCAAGCCTGAAATTCAAACCATTCTAGAATTGATGTTCTGTCCTTCTTGCCTTTCAAAAAGCATTTTAAAAGGTTGAAGCAGATGGCATACATTATGAAAAAAATTGCAACACACAGGGGTAAAAAATAATTCAAGTATTCTAGTTAAAGCACTGAAAATAGGACAATCCATATTGATGGAGCAATATGAATATGTATTTTGGAGTTCAGTGTAAGCTCTTCAAACATCAAAAATTAAACAACTGTTTTATTAGATCAAGAAAATCAGCCATTTCCTGGAAAGGAAAATTTTTGTTATACTTAAACCACGAAGTTCTGATGATTTAAACCAGTCGATCCAACTGTAATTTGTTGCTAAATCTAAAATTCTGCTCTGTGAAAGAGACTGTAACATACAATTTTCCCATTGTGCTCTCAAAAAAAAAAAAAAAAAAAACCCTTTATCACAAAACTTTTGCAATGGTAAAGAAATAGGAAAGCCATATGAAAATGAACAACAGAACATCTGATTAGTCAAAGAAAATAATTAGTAGTGTATATGCATAAACTAGGATTCTCTTTATGCATGCCAGTCTACAACAGGAAATGGATCTTTTCCCAGACCACTAATATATGCAGCTGAATGAACAGAGACACTCCAAAAATAGCAGCCAATGGTTAGCCCCTCCAACTGTGGTATGTTCCAGCTGGCTGGTCCATCTGGAGGGTACCACACTGGGAAAGGTTGGGCTACAACTATTGATCGGCTCTCTCCTGCACTTGGACTGATGGTTTTGTACACTGCAAGTCTAGTGCTGGTCTCATTCCCATTGCTGCAAGTCTGATCCCAGTGATGCAGTCCTGACATACAAGGAAAGTTCTGCTTCATACATTACAATTGCCAGAGGAAAACACTGGCATGACACGAGAGCAGTTTTGTCCAACTTGGGACTCCCCAAATATTTTGAAATACAACTTGCAGATTCTTGGTCATTGCCCATACTGGCTGAGACTGACAGTAGTTGAAGTCCAAAATATCTGGAGACTGGGGAAGCTGCACTACTGTGCCCTGCAATGTATAGGTGAAGCAAACATCAATATACATTAGAATACCTTGAAATGGAAACGTTATGCATCTAAGGCCCCTGATTGGGGCAATGGTCCCAGAAGTGTATGTACATATGTCTGACATCTGTGATTCTCCCTTTTTTCCTATCAGGAAAAATAATGAGCTGCCCAAAGTGTACTGGGCTGTATACATGCTTGAGATAATCTGCCGTGCCAGTCGTGCAAGATAATTACCTGTTTAGGGCATAACTCACCCCTAAGAACATCTTGTTCTAATACTGAAATGTCTTGTACTCATTATACGTTTTATCAGATCAGCAGGATGCAGTGTAGTATTTTACAAAAAGATAATGCACTATTGGAAGATTAAACTTGTTTATATTAAAGCTGTGGTCAGCCTACAGGCCCTGAAGGAGCCAGAGTGCTGCAAGGGAACGCCCATCAGTGAGGTCTTTTTGGATAGAGCAACAGGTCCTGACAGTACTAGACCTTGTGCTTTAGCTCTGTTCATGTTCAGGATGCACATTCACTCAACAACAGAAGGCAGAATGTAATCAGGTCCTTTGGCCTCTCACCTGGGCATTCAGCGGAATTGTCCAGGGAGCTTCAAGACAATGGCTGCATTTCTCCTCCCTCCATATGTTCCACAAACGTGCATATGGAAAGTATGAACAGAGCTTGCTAATCTCATGGAAACATATTTCCTCTAAGATTATACTCGTGCATAATACGCACAGAAGGGAGAAGCAGAAAAAAAGAGAAAGAAGTGAGCTTTATTAATGAAAACATGGGTGAAATAAGATGTAGATTTCCTGCTAACTCGACTGTCCCTACCTTTGAACACAATGTGTGCAAATAATGACATTCCTTGGATCAATACTCTAGAGTAGTGTGAACACATGAGAGATTAAATGGGACAGCTGTAGATGCATGCAAACGCACACATTAATTTCAGTGTTGTTTTCAAAGATGACTATATATTTTTTAAATCTTCATGGATTAGCCAGCCATTTGTTCAGGGACTGGCAGCCACATTTAGTCATCCTATTAGACTGACAAGAATTTCTCTTGCTCTCAATTGCTGCTGCTGCTACTTCTTTTTTTTGAGCATACTTATACGTGGGTTTCTCGCACTGTAGCTGAATGTATGAGTTCCCTCTAATTGCACACCCATGAAAAGTCATACTTGGTTCTCATTTTTGCCATCCAATAAGTTGTGCTTTATTTCCATGGGTGGAATTTTTGCAGCACCAACGGTATTCCTGCAGCAAAGTAGCTTTGTGTATGAAAAGGCATTGCCAGAAACCTCACGGTAGCAATCCACACAGCAACCCTTTTACATACAGGACAGAAGCACTGCGGTGCAAAGGAAGGAACTATACAAGCTATTGGAATAGCTGCTTCTACAACACACCTCTTTTTGTGAGTACGCCTAATGGGCAGTTCCTAATAAGGTGCAAGTACGCCCGAGAAAGACCCAATCACACAGAATGGGCAACGCAAGCAGGCACGTTCCATTAAGATGGCTTCTGTGACCCCCAAAGATTGCCACCTGAAAGCAGGCCCAAATGTTCTGGAAGCCTTGATGCAATCTTGCAGCCGTCATGAAATGGGAGATGTCTAATTAGCCTGGCAATATAGTTTTGTGATGATCAGGGCAGACTTTATTCTACTCTGTTAATGACTAAGACCAATAGCAGCCATGGTTAAGAAGTGTGGGAGTGAGCTTACATGCTTCCTCCCTTCCTTTGGTTGGCCTTAGACACTCACACCAATGATTCTCCAGGATTAACATTAAGCCGGTTCCTTCTTAACCAGGATTTGCAAGCTTCCTTCAAGCCTGGTTATCAAAAAGCTCAGCATTAAAGATGGTCCTCATCAGTACAGATGCAGGCAATATTTGTGCCATAACTCTGGCTTAGAGTTTCATAGCACTATGTCTGTCCAGGGCCTTACTGATTTATTGCAATGCACATTCAGTTGAATTGTACCTTCCGTACTTAGAACTCAACAAAACATCATCTCCCTGATGCAAATACATTCTAATTTGTGTGAGAACCAACACTGATAGATTTTTCACAGCTGAAGATTAAAAAAAACCCAACAGGTTTTACAGAAAAGGATTGCACCTTCAGTATTTAATATAAAAAACCATTTTCTTGCATTATTTAGTCATTTCAAATTTCAAAAAAGGGGAAATAGTATTCACACATTTGTTAAATAAGCAACAAAACATTGTAAGGAAAAGAAAAGGAACTGAAGAGGGTCAGAAACTGGTCCTTTTAACCTTGTCAAAACATGCTCATGGTGAAAATTTATTTTACATATTTAAAATAGTACATTTAAAATTATTAGTTACATTACAAGTACAATGATGAACATTGCGACTATCCATAATATTGCACAACCTGACTTCAAATATGGGTTTCTTTAAATAGTGCAAAATATTTTTACAGGAATGTAGCCCAAAGGGATTTCTTAAACCATTTTTCTTTCTTTCTGTCCTTTCTTTCTTTTTTTTTTTTTTTACAAAATATTATGTGAACAGAAAAAAAAATCAAAATAAAAATGTTACAAGCTATACAAGAAATTGCCACAGACAACATAAAATCTCTCTTCCTTGAGAAGCAAGACTCAATTCAATACAAGGCCTGACAGGTGGGTGGTGTTTTGTTTGCTTTATATAATTATAACCTATATATATATATATGTATATATAAATATATATAAAAAGCAATTTAAACACAAGATAAATAGAAGTCCAGTCCAATCAGGTCCATTATTAGGAAAGGATGGAAAAACATAAAACATGCCTTATGAACTGCCTATGGATTTAAATTCTTTACAAACTATAGGAAAAAAGGAACACAAAAATTCAACAAAAACCCAGCTATCCCAACATGGTTACCCCATGCTGTGTTATCAAGCAAAGTTTGTTCCAATGGCACTGTAGATTTTTTAAAGCAGGAAGATCCTACCATCTGGATTTTATTTTTCCTCAAAAATCCACATACTGCTCCCAGGGATTCCAACACAGCACTTACTTTATGCTTCCGTCGCTATTATCTGTAGTTGATTTAGTGAGGGGAGCCAAGATATTCCCTGGGATCCATCCTTCTGCTGCTGGTGAATGGTCATTGGCAGGCTGGTACACAAGGAACATGTTCTGCTGGTTAATGGCTAGTACTTGAACCACCTCACCCTGGTTGACACAGATCTCATTCTCCTTCAGTGCATAGTAATCTTTGATGACCACCATAGATGAGGTCCCATTGCACCCACCCAAGTCATTCTGAGAAGGAGACACAGAAAGCAACAGTGACAAGGTAGCTCTGCATCGTGCCCTGATTTTGTCATCATCTTCTGCACAGCACACCTCCCCTTCATGTGCCAAGAAGTGACACGGCATCTCATCCTCCAGCATTCTCAAGGCAAGTTAGCGGAGTGCAATATCCCCTCAATTCAGATAGGAAGTGACAGGCCAGCAATTCTGAATGGCACTGGGGACTGCTTTCTCAGCAGTTCTAAACTGGTTTGTAACTTGTGTGCGCACAGGCCCTTTCCTGGATGCAAGTCTTTTCCTGCAGTCTTCCTGGGGGAATGCACGACGAGACAAGACAGCATGTACTAAACCACTGAACTACGTTCCCTGTCTTTCCGTGTTTATCAGGGTGGGCAACTCGTGGCCCTCCAACTATCGTTGCCACAACTCCCATCAGCTCTAGCTAGCTGAGCCATTTAACTGTCATGACTCATATGCAACAGCAGACCAGTTGCCCTTTAATAGGTGATGCTCTGCCCCTAACACTGCACTTATTTGTGAGGCAAATTTTCCCTTAGAAGGAGAATGAAGAATTAAACTCCGCGAGCTCTGCTGCCCATGCCTTCAAGGGCAAACAGATTCTAGAGATAACAGTGGGAATGCAAGGATGAGAGAACCGCATACTTCAGGGCAGAGCAAATTTAGACACGCTTATTCGTTACAGCGGCGAGGAAGGATTGTTTTTAAAAGTGGCTTGCCTGTGGATGGAGACAGCTGCCACAAGTTTGGCAATGGAATAACCTAAGCTAATTTCAGAGGATGTCTCTGAAAAAACTTTCTTTTCTTAATTCAAGGAATTTGGGTGGGGAAGTGGGGTAGGAGAGAAAAACATCAGTCAAAACTAATTCACTGGGCTGTGTTCATTTCATGTATTCTATAGAACTGTATTCTATAGTTCATATAGTAGAAGGCACCATGGCTTGTATAATCTAGAATAATAAGAGGTATTTTACTAAGAGGGATAAGAAATGAAAGCAGTCCTTGTGAAGGCAGACCAATAATGTATCTAGGTAGCCATGCTATTTCCTGCAATGGCCAGTCATCCAGATGCTGCTGGAAGGTCTGCTAACAGGGGATGCGCTTGAGAGCCCTCCCTCAGAGCCCTTCCCCAACAAACTGGTTCAAGAAAGATAGTGTTGCACTCTCATGACTAGTCCCTATGCAATAAACCCATTCTCCATTCATCTGTCTAGGCCCTTTTAAAGCCAAGTCATCCAGCAGCCACTACCACGTCTTAGGGTGGTAAATTCCACAAACCTAAGGCTCAAACCCTGACCTCCTCTTTCCTTTCCAACCATTGTCAAGGAACTGGGGGCAAGGGGGAGGGTCATGCTTCTTGAAAGCCTGTAGGCAAAGCGGTCTTCCTTCACTTATTGCAGGAAAGCTGCTCTGGGGAGTTTTTGGAGAAGGAGCAGTGCAACAATAATACAAAAAAGTAATAAATACTGCCAGCAAATTTTGCTGCGTGACCCCAAGTTCTAGAATTATGGAAAGAAGAAAAAGCCACTTTCATCACCCTATGCAGAATTATGTATGTTCCCACCACACAAACATAATCTCCAGGTTTCTTCCCAAGTTAAAAAGGCCCCAAAGCATTAGAAATATCTCACAGGAAAGATGAGAAAGCCCTTCCTCTCTTTTTGATGCTGCTCTATACTGTTTCTGGTTCTCTAACATTATTTTGGGGGATGTGGAGACCAGAAGTATGCACAATATTACAAATATAGCCATACCATTCATTTGTACAGGGGTACAATGAAATATGATGACAACACAGCAACACTACTTGGTTTGTGAAATACAAATGAGCAAAAGGTTAGCAAGTCCATGGAATGACGACCAGTGTAGAAGCATTTCTTCGTCCTCTTGAGACACCAAAAGGAGAAAGAGTTGCTTTGCATTCTATCATACGTTCTGATAAAAAGATGGCTCATTTGCATATTAATACCTGGAATCATTCTGTACCAGAGCATAATCAGGAGACACAAGGGAAAGACTACGGAGTGCTCTGGATGAACAAGACCCTTTTACTGTTCTTTCTCACAAGGAATGTTGCAGCCCGGACAAATCAGATTAATGTGTGAAGTCCAACCCTGCAAAAACTGATGCTAGTTACAATCCTGATCTGCGATTGCTTGAAATAAATTCTGAACTATTATGTTCTGCACCCTTGCCTATAATCTTTCAAACTGATTCATGTTTTCATCCTCATGCGCTTTAGTTGCTCAGAGGCAAAGCACATGTTGCATGCTAATGCATGAATCAAAGTCCCATGCGTTTTTCTGCGTAAGCGGGTGAGGAAAGCAGTGGGCTATGATTTTGAAGAGGAAAGACGCTTTGGGGCAATCCATTATGCACCCCTTGCTCTCGTCTTTCCTGTACTCAGCATCACAGCCTCCCTCCTGCTGGTAAGTTTTTAAAGGCTATGTATGAAGCATGTGAGTTATGCCTGATTTCTGTAGACAGACAAATGGGAGATGCTTTTTATTCCTTTTAAGTGTATCATGCAGATCCTATGGAACTTCCTAAGTCTCCACCATAAGCTTTGCTGAAAGAGATATAAAGAACATTGGCTTTGGATCAGCACTTGTCACTCATGTACTAGTTCAATGGCTCAAGCACCCTACCCACTGGTAGCTAACAGTTAGCTATAGGAATGTATTATGAAATAACCGAAATTGGGAGAGTGCAAGGAAAGACAGTCTCTGTGAGACACAGAATAGTACGTACCTTGCTCTGCTCATATTTGTCCCCTGGCTGGTGCTGCTCGTGCCCTGTGCTGCCATTGGAGGTAGATAACTTCAGAGGCGGAAGAGACGGGTTACGCATGGTAGCCTTCAAAGGTTTATCAGACCCCACTGGACCTGAGGAATAGGGCCTGGTGATGGGCTGGGGTACCCTGCTGGTCTGGGGCCTTATTACAGCTGAGGTACTGCTTTCTTTGCGCTGGTATTCTATAGGAGACTGTAGTGCTGGAGCAAAAGACTAAGAGTTAGTATGGCCCTCCCCATTTCAGACACTGCTTCTTCCTCACGCGAAGGATGAGGATTTAAATTCTTTACAAACTATAGGAAAAAAGGACCACAAAAACCTTGTTCCTGGCAAAGCAGCATTACGCAAGGGGATGCCTTTAAACACAACAGAAACCCATCTAGTTGTCAGCTACGTAACTGGGAAGACCAAAGCATTTCTCTTCGTGGGTCAGGGCGCACTCTCACGAGCGCTCACTGAGCAAAGACAGTGAAGCATCCAGTGTTGCAGTGCCAGATTTTTCCGTGCTCCTGGTGATGCACGCCCTCCCTCCCAAGCCCTTACCAATGACAGTGACCACTGCACTTTGCTTACAGCAGTGACACCCTTCTAATTGTGCAGTGCGTAGTCTTGCACTTGATTTAGAATTGTGGCTGATCCTAAAGTCTCATGGCTTTCCTTTGCATTAAAACTGATAAGGCGCATTAAATGGTGCAGGGAACAGGCCAAGACAAATTCTAGCCTTAAGAACAAAGCAGGGAAAAGAACAGAGATACCTCCACAATCAATTTCTCCACAGGCCTGTCACTCACTGCATATATTCATACGGCTACATTATGTGGAGGATGGGGCGTTAAACTACCTCATCATTTCTACAGCTCTTGTTGTTCACTGTGTTAGCCAGATCAATGGGAAAACTGCACAGAACGGGTCCAGGTTAGTACTCCATGTCAAAATGCACAAAGAAATGCATGCATGATGCATTAACCCACATAATATTCAGAAATTCTACTACCTAAACCTCCAAGTATGGAAAAATATGTCACAGACATTTTGTTATTGAATGATGTGATTAGGGGTATGGAGGAAATGCAGAAGACAGTTGCTACGGACGGTGAAACATGCTGTCATGTTGCACATGCATTCACAGCTGATGTTAAAAAATGCAATCCCAGGATTGCATTGGCTGTGATGCAGCCATCAAGTGATCATTTACAACCCTGAGCATTCAGTAAAGGGTCGTCTGTAGAGCCCTTTCAGTTGGTGAAAGGAGAACCCAGCACTTCTTCGCAGGCTCCCCTGGACTTCTGATCGCATTCAGAAGTATGACAGACTTTCTTCACGACTTTGTAATTACCTCTTGACAACTAGTTGTCTGTATGCTCCCACACTGCCTCAGTCCAGCCTAACTCAGAAGTTGAGGAGATAAAATATACCCCAGCATCAGCAAAGGGCACATTCTGCTAGATTTTAAAAAAGTATTTTAAAAAGTATAGATTTAATTTCACATCCTGGGAATCCCCTTCAGCACACTTGGCTTTTCCTCCCATCATGCTCTATGCAGAAGAAAGAACAAGAAGTCGGTGTGCATGACCGATATAAAACAAGCCTACAGATTAATAGCAGACTGAAGGAAAAAAGGAGTTTCATCCAGAACCCATCACAAAGCTCCTGGGCTTCACAGCCAAGTAGAATACGTACCATTTAAGAAGTCCCTCTGTGTGTCCAACACTTGGCTGATATCCTGCACCCAGGCTTGCTGGATTTCAGGATTGGCTGCCTGCAGGATGAGCCGTTCTGACGTTTCCCGACTCATCAGCGCAAACTTGCAGGGATCATTATCCACATTCTCTTCTAGTATTAGGTATGTCATCTGCAAACAAGCAGAGAAAGCTCAATGCCACTTCAGGAGGATAAGAAAAGGGTCCTACGCAGGCCAAATGTATAGCAGCCAAGCCAAAAGACACCCTCAATGCCACAGTTCAAAAGAAGAGCAGCAACAACTTGGTCTTTCCAGATAAGGGATTATCCAGAAGAACAAGCTGGCTTTCAATTTTGCTCTTCATCTGTTGTGGCAAGTACCTTGAACAGCTGTTGGATTATCTTGAAGTTAGAAGGCAATGTCATTGGAGAGAGAACTGCTAATTCACAGGAAAAAACAAATTGCTCTACAGAAAGGTCCTCCAAAATTGAAATTGCTTTATTGGCAGTCTTGCCAATCTATAGGAGTATCAGCAGAATACTGCATTCTTAAAGGGTAAGACCATAATCCTATTTGCCCAGGCATGTAATAGGGATTTTATCTCTTGGCTAGGCATTTTCTCAAACTTCTATACTAAGTGCCATTTTATACTGCTTTTATTATCTTATTCCACCTTTACAGCTGCACCAGGAGACAGGTGGAGTACCAGTTGTGTCCCCTTAGTATTCCTTTTGCTCCCTGTTGTTTGTCCTCAAAGTAGCTTGTCCTACACAAGACAAGTCACAGGGTTAATATTCTCGCATAATATTTGCATAATTCCACGTTTAGTGGGTTTTGTGTGTTCAACCAAATAGCCACCTGCAGATATTTTTTCTTGCCTCCTGCTACCATGCGAGAGACACATGAAGCCACATGCAGAAAATACAAGCAGACTCAGCGGTGTACCCAACTGTGCCATTCTGCGGGTGGAAGCCATTCCATCCGTGGACCCAGGAGGAAAGCAATCTCCCTCCCCCACCTCAACTCCCGGAGTACTTTCGAATCCTGTTCTGGAGCACTGGGGAACCCCCTGGAGTACATTTTGGGGCTGCAGTGAAAAGATGGAGGGAATCCTGTTGTGCTAGCAGACACCTCTTGATTTAACCAATCCCTCCTTTTTTTTTTTCTCAAGTTGATTGTAGCTGAAGTTATTCAGATTAGCTAATGACAGGATGGGGACAAAGAGAGTGTGAAACGATGGCCACGTTTCACAGCTTCTGCACCGCAGCAAGAGGACTGCAGCTCAGTGGCAGGTCACATGCTTGGCATGAGGACAATCCCTGGTTCAATCCCCGGCACTTTCAGGCAGGTTTCAGACATCCTGCTTGAAACTCCAGAAAGCTGCTGCCACTCAGCACTGACAGCACTGGGGGAGCTGGCCCAGCGGTCTCACTCAGCATCAAGCAGTTGCTTGTGTTTCTACAATCCTTTCTCCTTGACTAGCTGCTATGCTACAAATCAAGGGCAGAATCCGCTGAAGTGCCTCAAGGAAGCACACCTTGTTGAGGCAGTCTTACTTTTATGCTCCGTTTAAACAGGTATCCAGGTGTTAGAGAGCCTTTCCTAAGAAGCTCGCTAAAGATGACTATTTGCTCAAAGAGGAAAACTCTGCGTTCCTTCGGTCGAGACAGCCCTCCAGAATCCTGCTCTGTTACGTAAAATGTATCCTGCTGCAACAACTTCCCTTGGGCTGCCAGCTTGCCCTAAAACAGATAAAACATTAAGATAAACACAAATTGAATGCTAAGAGAAAAGGCGTTTATTCAATTCTCTAGAGCAGCTTGCTTTTTCAGGGACTTAAATATAGATGAAGCACACATAAAAATCCAATAAAGTTCATAACCATAAAGTCAGTAATAGCAGCACACACAAAAACCCATTTTAAAACAGCAAAGATCAAACCTTATCAGGCAGCAATTATTAAGCAATCGAAAATGTCCACAAAGATACAACTAAGATACAAATCAGGCTGCAAGAATATATGCCAGTTTTAAAAGCCTGTGGAAATCGCAAGGTGTCTGCTTGGTGCCAAGATGATGTTAGGCAGGTGCTAGCTGGACCTCTGTGCGGAGGCCACGACACAGGCAGGGACTACTCCGAGGGGGGTCATTCATGAGTAGCCACCTGCTGATTCTCAGCATGCAGCTGTACTTGGACCTCTGATTATGCGGCCCGGGCATGAGTGGGACTTTATGAAAAGATGTCCTCCTTCAGATACTGTGTCTCCAAGCTGCGAATGCTAGCATATGGTCCAGCAGAAAAAAATCCTCTTATGATTTGTGTTTTGCAATTCACTGAAACATGGTATCTAGCCCCTAAAGATAATGCCTGCCAGCTGGTTCACAGAGTCGCCCCTGGGTGCATGTGTCCAGGACCACAGCCTGCTTCCTGACTTTTGGATGTAAGACGGCATGGAGGCAAGTCCACTCATAGTCCCCACTTGGCCATGAAGCTCACAAGATGACGTTGAGCACGTCATTGTCGCTCAGCTTAACCTACCTCACAAGGTTGTGAGGATGAACTAGAGAGGAAATAAGATAGGAGGACCTCCTTGGGATCCTTATGCGGGGAAGAAAGGCAGGATATAAATCTGTTAAATACATAGATAAACAATTTGGCTGATTCCTGCAATTTGGCTGATTCCTGGCCAGGGCGACTTCTTTTATATTGTTATTTATTTTATATTGTTAATTTTATATTGTTATTTTTGTATTTTATTGTATTTTATTTTGTGTTGTGAGCCGCCCCGAGGCTTCGGCAAGGGGCGGCATAGAAATGTTTTAATAAATAAATAAAACATGGAGAGGTACACAGTAATATGGCATATGATTGCTCCAATGCAATGCACGTGTCCCCCACTAGCTTATGCTGTAAAAGTGGTGAGGGGCTTCTCTCTGGTGATCCACCAGATGTAGAATTTCCACAACTGTGAACCAGATGCCTGCGCCTGGAGGTTTACTCAAAACAGCTGCTAGCATCAATGTTCTCCCGTGGGATTGATTTGTGTAACAGTAAGTTCTTTGTAAGCTATGGCACATTTAAGACAATGTAGATTATATAGATTCTACACTTTTGAAACTTTAAGTTTGCACTGGACAGAGTAACACAGCAAGGTGTACAATGCAGGCAGCAAGAGGCAGTGTGCAGAAGAAACTCTGCCACAGGAATGATTAAAGGCTCTCTGTGAGGCAACCAGTGTATGCATGTGTGCACTTGTATGACCAAGCACTTCCTGCCTTGGTGAGCTGCAACTCGGAAAATAGTAATGGAAGCTAAAGCTATGCCACTGACCACATTATCAGGGAAGAAAGCTTGCTGCCATGAGGGCTTTTAATGTACTGCCAGCAAGTGCACTCTCCAGATCACACCCAAAAGCCAGTATAGATGTCTACCTCAAAGCCCTGAAGACGGCCCAGATTCATCATGTCATTGCAGCGTTTCGGAACAAGGCACATCAATTCCACAGCTTTCTGTAAGAGAGAGTGATCACACAGTCAGAATTTGAAAGGGTGAAAGGCCATCTAGCTCTCCCCTTTGAAGCAGGGCCATCCACATAACAATCTTTCCACCACAGTCAGAAAGTATGTTCGTTGCAGAGAGATGCTCATGGCGCAAAGAGCCCCAGACACCTCGAGCCAAGGTTGGCAATACTGTTCCAAAGCAAGCAGCCGTTCTAAATGCTGAAGAAGTTTCTTCCACACACTGTGCACAGCCAATAGTCAAACTATGGGATCACTTCCATAACATGTAGTGATAGCCACAAATTGGATGGCACTAAAAAAGGGGTTTGGAAAAATTCATGGACGTTATCAGTGAGTACTAGTCCTGATGGCTAAATGCTACCTCCAGTTTCAGAGGCAATACACCTGTGTACATCACCTGCTGGGGAACATGAACAGGGTGTGCTGTTGCACATATGGCTTATTTGTGGAATCCAGTGGGCAACTGGTTAGCCACTGTGTAACTGGCACAGTGTGTTAGTCCACTGTGCTGGACTAGACAGATCCTTGGTCTGATCCATCACAGCTCTTCTTATATTCTTAGCTTTTCAAATAAAGCTTTCCAGGCATATCCAACATGAGCAAAATCCACCACGTATTTGACAAGGTCCTAAATAGAACCATTATCTTAGAAGCACTGACTAGTATAATTCTGCAAGTTTCAGGCTGGTATTTAAGCTCTGTCTTCTCAGCCTGTAACTTGTATTGTTGATTACTATGCTACACCAGACTGTACCTTCTTGTGTCTCTTAATGACAGTTCTTGATGATGCAGGGAAAAGGGCAAGGAAGAGCTAACCTTTAGAACCTAAAGTAGCGATGTGGAAATTCAGGCCTGGAGACAAATTCCAGGCTATGTGGGGTCTCAGCTGAGACCCTGTGGGTTCCCCAGATAGCTATGCCTCTTTCACCACATCACCAGATCGTTTCTGCTCCCCTCACCCACTGCCTGCTATCTCTTGAGTCTTGGCATTTGTGTAGTTTCTTCCCCATTCTCAAATGTTGAAATGCCTCTCGAAAGTCTTTGTTACTTGCAAGAGAAGCATCAAGCTGAAATATGCCAGCGTTCTTGGCATTTTGGCTGCATTCACTTTGCCTTTGGCCCAGATGCCCTTCATTCTCCACCCCTGGAATGCAGCCCCAAAGAGTCTCTCAGAAACTGAATTTGGCTTTGGGCTGAAGCCACTTCAACCCTTTACTTGCTGATGTAAAGATTCTCCAGTTATGCAGCAATACTATCTTTGCCGCTCTTAAGGCTAGGCTTTAATTCACTAATTGAGCTCTACTTTACACTGAATGCAGTATTTAAAAAGGATTTCAAGACTAAAAAGAAAAAAGAAAACATTTTTTTATTTGTTGTTTTTCCCCCCACTGAGTTTAAATTACTTTTCTCAAAAATAATTATTTTCTTATTTGCACCCTGCCTTTTGGTTAAAAGAGGGACATCCAAAGATTGCTTAAGCATAGTTTAATATGTTATCACCAAGCAATAAAGAGAATGTAAAATACAAAATAAAAAGGGAGCTGATGAAACCATACCTCTGTCTCTGAACACTCAAGTCCAGCCTTTTCACTGAATTTCAGAAAGTCCTGCAGGAAAGAAAATCATCTTCTTAAAATGATTCACATGACTGCATTTCTCAAGATGACAGTGCTGCATCTGTCTGCTTACCAAAATGATATTATATAGGGAAACATGAAAATTCATTAATTTACATATATAAATATTGAACTGAAATACAAGTCTAGACTATGGCACTCAGTGTGTAATACACTGTAGAGAGGAAAAAAAGATACATGGCTTTTTATTGAGCATTACCATTTTTATTTAGAAGACACAGCAAGTCAAGCATCCCAGAGAAAATGGAAGATTCTGAGGCTTTAGAAAGCAATGCTTATATTGTTGCTGTTCTGTGCCATCAAGTCGTCTTTGACCTACGGTGACCCTATGACTGAAAGCCCTCCAAAACGTCCTGGCCATGACAGCTCCTTTCAGCTCTTCCAAATTCAAGGCTGTGGCTTCCCTTATGGATTCAATTAATCTCATAAAAACATACACACACACACACTCCCCCC